GGGGCGGGAGGCTGGCTCTTTGCTTGCCTCAGAACTGGGCTTGACCCAGTTCCAGCTTCCAGTCCCAGGAGAGGAGGGTGCAGAGCAGGCAGGGACAGAGCCAGTGCCCAGCAGCAGCTCCCGGCCTCCCAGGGACGTGGCACCCTCTTTGAGGGGCTGGAGCCGCCTGCTCATTCCGCTGTGCCTGCTTGCCCTTGCTCAGAGCCTCTTCTCCCAGTTTAATCTGCTTCTCTCTGCCCAGTATGTGACCGTTGAGCAGCTCTCAGGCATCCTGGGCCACCTCCACCCTGTTGCCGCTTCCCCACTGGCCTGCGCCCCTCCATCTCCTTCATCTCCTTCAGGCTGCATTACTCCTCCTCCTCCTCCATCTCTCTCTTCTCCTTCCGTCTCTGCAGAGGTTTGTGCCCTTTTTCCCTTCCTCTGCCCCTGCGCCCTCCCTGGGAGGTGATGGGGATGCAGGGATCAGGGTGAGCTGTGGATGAGGCTGAGCGGCAGCGGGGCCTGTCTCCAGCTGCCTGCCCGGTGCCTTGCACCTGCCTGAGCCTGCGGTGCGGGGTAGGGTGTCTCTGTGCCCTCCTGGCACTTCCATTGGCTCTTGCAGGCACTACAAGTAGCCAAGGGGGTCCTGGAGCTGCAGGACTCAGCCAGGGAGGGTGCAGGGTCCTTGGGGTGTGCAGGTGCCATGCTGTGGGTGGTGCAGGTGCAAGCAGGGATGCTCTGACCTCTCTATCTCTGTCCGTCTGTCTGTCTCTCTCGCTACGTTTCGCTCTTTGTCCTTTCTCATGCGGCGTTTCTCTCCAGATGGAGCAGCAGCTGCTGGGGGGCTCTGTATGGCTCCCAGCTCTTGATTTAGAGAAGTGGTACCAGGAGGTCATGGCTGGCTTTGAGACCTCCTTCTCCTCTGTCTCTCCTCCTTCTTCCCCTCCTCCGCTTCCAGCTAAAGCTCACCTCTCTCTCAAGCCTCTCCAGGTAATCCCAGCTCGCTGTTGCTGGGGCTCAGGTTTTGGGGCTGCTGGCCGCAGCAGGAGCAGGACAGCATGGGGGTATTCCTGCCGGTTCCACATTGCAAGGCAGAGGCAGAACAGACCCGCAGCGGGCAGTACGCCTGGGGCAGGCAGCCACTGCCTCCTCTTGCCTGCACCTCTGCCAAGGTGGCACCCACACAGGGGCAGGATCTGGGGAGGGGATGCTCAGCCCCAGTGACAGCTGAGCCGTCTGTCCATGGGGCTTTTGCAGCCCCCCATGACTCTCACCTTTGTGTCTCCATGCCCAGGTCTATCGTGCCAAGACAGAAGGTGACACCGGTGTCCTCACAACTCGGATGAAGAGCGGGACCCCCTCATCCTCGCAGCTCAACCTCTCCGTGCTGGGGCGCAGCCCCTCACCCAAGGTACTGCCACCGGGGGGAGCCGGCATTGCTTGGCCCCGGGCATGGGGGCTCCTGCGCAGCCGGTGCCAGCCCCTGTCCATCCCCACAGCCCAGCGCCTGCCGTCCTGTCCAGGGCCCCCTGAGCCCGGCGGGCAGCCTGCCCCATAACCTGGCGGCCACGCTGCAGGACATCGAGACCAAGCGCCAGCTGGCCCTGCAGCAGAAGGGTGAGCGCCGGTTCCACGCCTGGCTCTGTGGCGTGGTGGGGCTTTGGGACACGCTTCCCCGCCGCTGCTCGGGCGATGGAGAGGGGAGCCCGGAGGAAGCAGCGGCGGTGCTCTGGAGGGATGCGGTGCCTCCCTCACGGTCTCTTGCTTCCCCCCCCTCTCTCCCTCCCGACCCCTCCACCTGACGGCGTGTCTGCAGCCGAGCCGCTCCCAGCAGAGCCCTTGCAGCCGGGCGAGCTACCAGGTAGAGACGTGTGGTGGCTTGGCCTGCCTCAGGCAGCCCAGAGGCAGCAGCATGGCTGTTTGCTGGCACTGGGTGCCGTGTACAGGAGGGGCATGATCAGCCCAGGACCCCAGGTGCCTCCAGGCATCCGCTTAGGAACAGCCTTGTGCATTCCCAACTCGCTAATGCTTTGCCCAGCCTGCTGCTGCCAGCCTGGTGCATGTGCTCCCCTTGGCTGCCTGGACCCCTTCCTCCTCCCAGAGAGGTGTTGCTTGCAGGGAGTAGTGAAGGCTCTCTCCGCTGCACCAACCATCCCTGCCAGTTCCAGCAGTGCCTGCTGTGTCTTCTCCTGCCAGTGCCATCCCCTCACCTGCAGTGGTGCGGCGCTGAGTGCGGAGTGCTCAGTTGTGGTTGTCTTCCCATGGCCCAGGTCAGCAGGTGATCGAGGAGCAGAAGCGGCGGCTGGCGGAGCTGAAGCAGAAAGCGGCTGCCGAGGCTCAGTCCCAGTGGGAAGCCCTGCACGGGCAGCCCCCCTTCCCCACTGCCTTCCCCCGCCTTGTGCATCACTCCATCCTCCACCACCACCGTCCCCATGGCGGTGGGCCCCGTGCCGAGGAGCTGGACCACGCATATGACACCCTCAGCCTGGAGAGCTCAGACAGCATGGAGACCAGCATCTCCACCGGCAACAACTCTGCCTGCTCACCCGACAACATGTCCAGGTAACCCTGGGGCCAGCTGCCACGGCCGGAGAAACAGCCTGCTCTGCTGGCCACAGCGCCGGCTTGAGCTCCTTCGTGCTGGGATGGCAGCTGCGGCTCTCTTGCAGTGCCAGCGGCATGGAGGGAGGGAAGATCGAGGAGATGGAGAAGATGCTGAAGGAGGCACATGCGGAGAAGTCGCGGCTGATGGAGTCCCGGGTGAGCAGGGGCACCGGTGCCACGGCCAGCCAGGGTGCAGGGCCCCAGTGCTCAGAGCTGAGCGGCTGCGTGTGCCGGCAGGAGCGGGAGATGGAGCTGCGGCGGCAGGCGCTGGAGGATGAGCGCCGGCGCCGGGAGCAGCTGGAGCGGCGGCTGCAGGACGAGACCGCGCGGAGGCAGAAGCTGGTGGAGAAGGAGGTCAAGCTGCGCGAGAAGCACTTCTCGCAGGTGAGGCGTGTGTGCCACCTGCAGCGCAGGATCCCTGCTCCCCACCCGTGTCCAGAGGGGATACGGTCCTTGTCCCACTGGCAGGCTTTGCAGGGCTCTGCTTTTCCAGGCTCGTCCCCTGACACGGTACCTCCCCATCCGCAAAGAGGATTTTGACCTGCGGCTGCACATCGAGTCCTCGGGCCACAGTGTGGACACCTGCTACCATGTCATCCTCACAGAGAAGATGTGCAAGGGCTACCTGGTCAAGATGGGCGGCAAGATCAAGTCTTGGAAGAAGCGCTGGTTTGTCTTCGACCGCATGAAGCGCACCCTCTCCTACTATGTGGGTGAGTCCCTGTGCTGCCCCGTGCCCCTTCCTGTGTCCCTCCCTGTGTCATCGCCTGCACACCGTGATCAACACCGATTCCCTCTCTCGAGCAGATAAACACGAGACGAAGCTGAAGGGCGTCATCTACTTCCAAGCCATTGAAGAGGTTTACTACGACCACCTCCGCAGTGCTGCAAAGGTGAGAGCTGGGCACTGCTGCTGCCTCAATGCCCGTGGGGACCTCCTGGCATGAACCCCCATCATGCAGACAGGAGGCACTGGGGCAGCTCATGCCGGTGATGCTCCCAGGGTGATAGAATCATAGAATCCTGGAATGGTTTGGGTTGGAAAGCACCTTAAAGGCCATTCGGTTGCAACCCCTGCCACGGGCAGGGACACCTTCCACTGGAGCAGCTTGCTCCAAGCCCCTGTGTCCAACCTGGCCTTGAACACTGCCGGGGATGGGACAGCCACAGCTTCTCTGGGCACCCTGTGCCAGCGCCTCAGCACCCTCCCAGGGAAGAGCTTCTACCTAATATCCAATCTAAATCCATCGTTTCTCACTTAAAGCTGTTAAATCCATGATCCATGGCCCCCAGTGGCACCTCCTCCCCACGGTGCTGATGGCAGGAGCCCGGTGCTGGGCCTTGTGGGGGCAGAAAGGGGAGCACAGTGCTGCTCCGAGGAAGCAGAGCACTGACACCATCCTCTTCCTCCTCCACAGAGCCCCAACCCTGCGCTCACCTTCTGTGTCAAGACGCACGACCGCCTGTACTATATGGTGGCCCCCTCGGCCGAGGCCATGCGCATCTGGATGGACGTCATTGTCACCGGGGCAGAGGGGTACACCCAGTTCATGAACTGAGGGTGGTGGGTGCTGCGCACCCCGGATCCACCAGCGTGATGGAGTCCTGAGCTCCCCAAGCAGCGGGGATGTCCTGGGGGGCCCATGCAGTGGCCATGCGCCCGTGTCGGGTGCCACCAGCATCATCTGCTCAGCCAAGAGAGGAGTCGTTTTCTTTTTTAAGTTGACTTTTTAAAAACAAATTTATTGGAAACCTATCAAAGTGCTGAAACATAAAGAGCTGCCAAAGAGCTGCCTGTGCCCGGAGCTTTGTGCCGCGGGGAGGTGCCGGGTTTGGGAGGACGCTGCCACGATGCCAGCGGGATGGACCAGACCTGGATCCCCCCTTGGGACTCTTTTGTGACCCTGTGTTGTGCCGAGGTTGTGCAGTGAGTGCGGGCTGGGCTGCCTGGAATGCCGTAAAGCGTGTGGTGAAGCTGTGCCGTGCTCCTCGGGCCTGGCGGCTCTGCCTCGGGATGCAGGGACACGGCGCCGCGGCACCGGATCGGGCCCGGGGCGGTCCTGCAGACCTGGTGTCCGTGAGAAGCGGCGGGCGGGCGGGCGGGCGCTAGGACCCGGGCAGGCGCCGGGGGCGGGGCCCGAGGAATGGGCTCTCAGCAGCCAGGGGGCGTTACCGGCAGGCTGTTGCGCGCGCACGGGTGCGCCTGACGTCACCGCGCATGCCCCTCAGCCCGCCTCACGTTGCCCCGCCCCGCCGCGCTCAGGCCCAATGGGGCCGAAGCTCCCCTCGCTCCCGCTTCCGGCTTCTCCCGACGTGGCCCAATCGGGTGCGCGCGGGGCCCCGGCGCCGGCGGCCGCGCCAATGAGGTCGCGCCGCGTCCGGGCCGGGGGTTGCGCGAGGCGCCGGGGCCGCGGGCCGGGCCGGGCCGAGCAGGAGCAGCAGGAGCAGCAGCAGCATGGCGGCGGCGCGGGGGCTGGGCTGGGCTCTGGCCTGGCTGCTCCTCTCCTGCCGCCTGCCCGGCGCAGGTGCGTGCGGTGCCGCGGGGGAGAGGCGGGATGGGGGGGGGGCGGCCGGCGCGGCCCCTCGGAGCCCGGGAGCGGGTAGAACCGAGGGGCTGCGCTCCGGCAGCGGGCTCACAGTGGGGTGGGTTTGTCGGCAGAGGCCGTGGCCGTGATGTCGGTGGACGTGGGCAGCGAGTCGATGAAGATAGCCATCGTGAAGCCCGGGGTGCCCATGGAGATCGTCCTGAACAAGTGAGCGGCTGCGCCTCCATCGTGTCGCGGTGCTGGTGTCGGGAGAGCAGCGGAGCTGCTGCGAGGGCTGGAGCAGCTCGGCTCTGGAGCCAGGCTGAGAGAGCTGGGCTGGGTCAGCCTGGAGAACAGAAGGCTCCTGAAGGGGAGACCTGAGAGCAGCTCCAGTGCCTGAAGGGGCTGCAGGAAACCTGGAGAGGGGCTTGGGACAAGGGCCTGTAGGGACAGGCCAAGGGGAATGGCTTTAACCTGCCAGAGGAGAGACTGAGATGAGCTCTTAGGCAGAAGCTCTTCCCTGTGAGGGTGCTGAGGCACTCACTTTAGTGTGCTAACACATTAATCAGAGTGGAAAGGAGTCACCTCTTACTGAGTTCTCATGTGTTATGGGAAGAATAACAGTGTGCCCACCACGGCTTCCACTGTGAACTGGAAAGTTGTCTCTGTGTTTTGGTAAAGCCTGTGGTTTGCCCGTGTCATGAGGGACACCAGGAGGTGTGGAAGCTCTGAAGGGAGGTGCTGCTGTTGCAGCACTTCAGGTAAACGGAGGCTGCCTTCTCTGAGGTGGTATGCGAGCCTCTTCTGAAATGGAAACAGTGCCCTTCTCACTAGGGACTCTGTATGGAGCGTTCACCTGTTTCAACTGGTTTATTCCTCTTTCTCCACACAGGGAATCACGAAGGAAAACGCCTGTGGCTGTTGCTTTGAAGGAGAATGAACGTCTCTTTGGTGACAGTGCACTGGGAATGGTGAGTTCTTGTTGCTCATTGTGCCAGCTGCGGTTCCTGTATGCAGAGTGTGTGTTCCCACTGCTGGGTCCTTTGTGATAAGTGAGCTAGGAAGTTTTATTTCTTCCCATCTCCTTGGTGTTTTACTGGCTTGTTGTGTACTGGTCATGTGCTCCCAGCTCCCATAGCAAGCTAAGTTCACCACATAGCTTGGGAGAGGTTTGCCTGATAGCAGTAAAGCCACAGCAGTGCAGGTGAGTGATGTGCTTTCTCTTTCCACAGTCCATAAGGACCCCGAGGGTGGCATTCAGATACTTCCAGGATCTGCTGGGTAAGCGTATGGATAACCCCCATGTGGCACTATACCAGTCCCGCTTCCCAGAGCATGAACTGGTGAAGGATGAGAAAAGGCAGACTGTTATCTTCAAGTTGTCCCAGTAAGTGGCTGCTTCAGGGTTCCTTGTGGGCTTTAGCTACCAGGCTGCTACAGCTGGCTCTGTTGTTGCTGTAATTCTCTTTCCTGTTTATTTCTCATAGGACTATACAATACTCTCCAGAGGAGATGCTGGGGATGGTCCTGAACTATTCACGGGGTCTGGCTGAGGAATTTGCAGGTCGGAAGGCTTTAGCTATTTCTCATAGTATCTGTGTGTGTTGTATCATATAGGATTTGAGTAGGGACTGAAGCTGTTTGAAAACCCATGGGTTTTATAAGCAGGATGTTGGGTCTCTTCAGCTATGGACCTTAGCAGCTATGGAGTCATGATTTGTTTATAATATACAAGTTTGGGGGTCTTAGTCCTATTCTTGGGGGCAGGCACCCCAGATCCCACCCAGCTTTGCATTGAAGAGTATCCTAACATGAAAGAGGCGTCAGCAGAAACACAGCTCTGTGAGGACACAAAACCTGCTTGAACACAGAGTTTTGTCCCTAATGATCCTGGTTGCTGCTGCAAGATTGATTCTGTACAAGTCTTTACCTTGGACTCTGTGGCTTCGCCACCAGTACCCACCCCATTATAGTGAGTCTTTGCCACGTTGCTATGCTGGTGGAAAAACGTGTTCCCTGTGACTCTTTCAGAGCAGCCCATCAAGGATGCAGTGATCACGGTTCCTGCCTATTTCAACCAGGCGGAGAGGAGAGCAGTTCTGCATGCCGCTCGCATGGCTGACCTGAAGGTGCTGCAGCTGATCAATGACAACACAGCCGTAGCGCTGAACTACGGAGTGTTTAGGAGGAAAGACATCAATGCCACCGCCCAGGTAGGTACAGCTGGGAGATACAGAGAGTCCTGAGCAAGTGCTTGCATGTGGGGGAGGAAGTGCAGCAGATAAAATCAAAAGCACTTGAGCTAAAGCGGACTCTGCTAGTCAGCCAGTCTCCTGTTTTCACATGCTTATCAACAAGGCAAAGAAGAAACTTTTAAAGAGCAAAGCTTTGGATTTTGATCTGTGAAATGGATGATTAAAGCTTTCTTGTCTGCTTGTGTCAAGTATGACCCTGAACATCTCCTGCGTTTGATCAAAGTAGGAGTCCTGTCATAAGGGTATAAAGCCAGTCGAGGGAGCGATAGTCTTGGCCTGTATCAAGCTCAGAAGGCTATGGGCTCTTTCCTTATTCATGGGGGATATCCAGGTGTTTCTGCTTCACCGTCCCAGCTTCTCTTTTCAGAATATCATGTTTTACGACATGGGAGCAGGAAGCACCGTTTGTACTATTGTTACCTATCAGACAGTGAAAACTAAGGACTCGGGAACCCAGCCTCAATTGCAGATCCAGGGCATTGGGTAAGAATTCAACACGAGTTGCACAAAACCCACAGGTCTCAGGAAAGAAACCACTTTTTTCATGGTCTCTTCTAAATGTAGGATTTGGCAGTGAGGCTTCAGCACAGTAATTTGGGTGGCAGAGTGGGAAGTGTTTGGAGCAAGAAGGCTCCGGTTGGTTGTAACTTCGGTATCACTGTCTTGTGCGGAAGATAACTGAGAACTTCCAAAGGCCCAGGAGGGAGCCAGTGTACTTAGTTTGCTTCAGGCTTGCTTTTTGACAGCCTCAACCCACTGATGCTTAATTCCATGTCATATAATCTTCTAGAAGTAGAGTGTGTCAGTCTGGAGAAGTCGAATGTCCTTCTAGAGGAGAATGGAACCACAGTGCACTCACACGATGCCGAACATGGAGCGGGGTGCTGCGAATAGCCAGCCCAGCAATTTTAACTCCAAAGCACTTACACTGCTCTTGCTAAGAAAATACCTGGGACCTGAGGCAGTTATCCATTAGCTTCTCGGCTGTTGGACGTGCCATAAGGCCTTTACTGTAAACATACTGACATTTCCTGCTCAGAGGCTGTTGTGGTGGTGAATCTTTCTTTTCTTTGTGTTCATTGTGATGTGTTATTTCTGAAACAACCTTTATTCTTTCACAGTTCATCACAGCTGATAATAATGCAGCTACTTTTGACCGCTTGCTGCTCTGCATATCTGTGAAATAAGTTAGTATTTCGACCCTGTTTAAGTTGTTACATCTTTACATCTCTGCTCATTCTTCTGCTCAGGTTTGACCGTGCTCTTGGCGGTTTAGAGATGGAGCTTCGTCTGCGGGACTATTTGGCAAAACTCTTTAATGGTCAGCACCCTTCAAAAGACGTCCGAAAGAACCCGCGGGCCATGGCCAAACTGCTGAAGGAGGCCAACCGCCTGAAAACCGTCCTGAGCGCCAATGCTGACCACATGGCACAGGTCTGGCCTTCTGCCTTTCTGCTTTTGTAGGACTGAGGGGTGGCTGGGGCAGGGACGGGGCTGTGGAAACGCTGTCCCTCAGCAGCACTGGTGTGCTGAAGAGCATCTGGTGTTCTGGGGGGGCGGTGGGGTCAGCACTGGTGGCCCCTCAACCTTTCCCCACTTGGTAGCACTGGTGAGTGAGTGAATGAGGAGGAGAGTTATTCACGTGGAGTTTGTTAAATAAACTCACTTTGGAAGCCATCTATTACATCCACATTCCTCTTGTCACCTGAGCAATGTCAGGGTTCAGGTCCTTGGTGTGTTTAGGAAGCTGGAACTTTTTGCACTCTGGGCAAGTCAGGCAAAGTGAATGCACCACCACTAATTTCATTCTGGCTGTTTTTTTTCTGGACAGATCGAGGGACTCCTGGATGACATCGACTTCAAGGCCAAGGTCTCAAGGCAAGAATTTGAGGATTTGTGCTCTGATTTGTTCCAGCGAGTCCCAGGACCTGTGCAGCAGGCTCTGAGCAGCGCAGAGATGAACCTGGTAAGTTTAAGGGAATGCATTAACAAGCCTGTAGTTAATATGTGGGGAGCTGCTGCTGCACCATGATTGAGGCATCAGTGAATGTGTTGTCAGCACTGCTGGCAGGTACAAATGCCTGCTGTTGTCGTAGAGTGGTGTTGGTGCTGCATAGAATTTACTTGCTGCAGTGTTAAGCAGGAGTCCATCACGGCTCCCTGTGCTACCCATCAGAAATGAAGGGCTCAGAGGAGGGTTTTTTTTCAGTTATAAAACTTTACTCTTGGGCTATTCTGGTCTCGCTCATGAAGCTTTAACTCCAAGAGCCTGGACACGGAGCTACTGCTGTTCAGGCTTCCCCTTTGAGCGTTCCCTTTAGAAACCCCACTGCAGACTGCAGTTGGGCCAAACGTGATGCAGTCCTTTGGAGAGACTTACTGCATTGTTAAAAGCTCACTTGCAGGGTGCCAGGGCACTCTTGAGCATCTTTTGGCTCTGGTGTGCAATGCAGGACACTGAGTCACCTCTTAAAGTCTGGGTTTTGTCTGATCTGGTCCTGCTTGCTTTCTGAGTCACTGCCTCCTCTGACTTTAAACTAGGGTCTGTGTAATTTTGAAGCAAGTGACTTGAAGCAGCGGTCACATTGTCCCTGTTTGACAGGCCTGACTCCACATTCCTCCTGTTGGTGTAGCTCGTGTCAGCCTGTCTGAGATCTATCAGGCTTGACCTGCACTGGGACTGCAGGATGTAGTGTGGGTGTTTTCAGAGCACTGCATCAGTGTGTGTTGACTGGGGAAGGAAGCATAAGGAAGCCCTGCACTTAGCTGTCCAAAATTGCTTTCTCAAGACAAGATGACTCTTTCCAATCCCTAGGATGGAATTGACCAGGTGATTCTAGTTGGCGGTGCCACACGAGTCCCCAAAGTGCAGGAAGTTTTGCTGAAGGCTGTGGGCAAGTGAGTATGTGAGGCCCCCTTCAGTCTCTCTCCTATTGACAGCTTGCTGTTTGCAGCGGTGGTTGCAAAGTTGATGCCTGTTGCTTTTTGCTCCATAGAGAAGAACTGGGCAAGAATATCAATGCAGATGAGGCTGCTGCTATGGGTGCAGTCTACCAGGCAGCTGCTCTGAGCAAAGCCTTTAAGGTGAAGCCATTTGTTGTTCGAGATGCCGCTGTGTTTCCTATCCAGGTAACCCTTGGCTTTCTTTCTTGTGTGCAGGGTCTGGGTAAGTGGGGCTGTGCTGGGACAAATGTTCCAGGCAACCTCCCAGTTTCCTTCCAGCAAGGAAGCTGTGGAGATATTTGTGCCAATCTTAATAAAGCAAGCAGAAGAAAATCCTCTGTGTTGTACAAGTGTAACATCCAAGAAGCTGGGTGCATAGGAACATCAGCTGCTGAGAAACACTTGCTGTCCCGACTTTTGTGTGTGGCAGAGCAGCCAAACGCTACAGAAACCTCTGATGTGAGATGCCACAGAGGAAGTCTGGAGTTGCTGAGATGCATTTTCTGTTGGTGATGCAGGTGGAGTTTACTCGTGAAGTTGAAGAGGATGATAAATCCAGGAGTTTAAAGCACAACAAGAGGATTTTGTTCCAGCGCATGGCACCCTACCCGCAGCGCAAAGTTATCACTTTCAACCGCTACACAGACGACTTTGAGTTCTACGTCAACTATGGAGATCTGTCTTTCCTGAACCACGATGACATGCAGTGAGTTGAGCCCAGATCATTCTGTGCTTTCGCAAATCAAACCGTGGGCACTTGCTTTATGCATTGTCCGTTGCTGCAGACAGGACTATGGGAGGTATATAGCTGTTCTGCAGCGTTGTTATCCTGAGTTTTCTCTCTGCTTTTTGTCTCTATGTTGTCAGGGTTTTTGGTGCTCTCAATCTCACTACTGTGAGGCTAAAGGGAGTTGGAGACAGTTTCAAGAAGCACTCAGATTATGAATCCAAAGGCATCAAAGCTCACTTCAACATGGATGAGAGTGGAGTTCTAAGTCTTGACCGGGTGAGCACCACCTGTTGTGATGCTTGTCAGCCTATGTGTTTTCCAGTTCTGTCCCTCTCTCCGGTGTTGCTGGTCCCTGCTTAAAACTAGTTCTGTGCTCCTCTTTACAAGGTGGAATCTGTGTTTGAGACCTTGGTGGAAGACAAGCTGGAGGAAGAGTCGACACTGACAAGTAAGTGCTGAGTTTTGGTATTCATATTGACTGTTGTGGTTTACCTGGAGTGGCTGAGATAACTGCAGGCACACTGTTTGCTTGGGTTTGGGGTGTGGAAATGAAGCAGCCACAGCCTCTGGGTGTGCAAACAGCTCCAAAATACTTTAAAGCACTTTCTAAGTGGCTGCTGGGTGCTGCCAGGAGCTGTGAAATGTCATACACTCCAAAGGTGGCCATGGCATGCATTGCAACCAGGAGTTGCATCCTCTTTGGTCAGCCACAGCTGCTGATTTCAGGAGGTCTGTCCTGAAGGGAAATCCTGCATCCACAGCCCCACAGCATTCTCCCATCTTGCCTGGGTTGTGATGCCATGATCTGTGCTTTACGTTGCTCAGGTTTTACAGCACAGATTTCCCCTGTATCTGCGTGTTTGAGGTGAGCGGGAGGTGCAGAGATGGCTTCTGCAGCCACAGGTTGGAGCTTGAAGTGTTCCAGTTGAAGTTGCAAATTTTGGGTCATATTACAGCAGTGGTAGAGACCCCGCTTTACGCACGCAAAACCACAAAGTGAGGCCAAGGAAGGATGAGTTTCTGGAGTGCAGGGAGCTAACTTACACCACCAAGGCAGATCTTTGATGATCGTTAGGGCTGCGAGGGGAAGAACTGAGGGCTGATGGTGACTGCCTTCATCCTTTGGGAGCATAATATTCTGGATTTTCTTGTCTCTTGTTGGCAGAACTTGGAAACACCATCTCAAGCCTGTTTGGGGGTGGTGGCCCAGCAACAGAGACCGGAGAGAACCTGACAGACCCGGTTCAGGTGGGTCCTAGCGGGCAGGAGGGAGTCCGTGGGTCTTGCTCTGGCTGCTGAAGACACAGTGATTGATGTAAGCAGAACTAAAGGTGTCTGACAAGCACAGCAGGAGTTTAAATGGTTTTAGAAAGTGCTGTATTCCTCTTGAGTTTCACATAATGTGCGTTTAAAGAAGGTTGGAATCTTTTGCTGGGAAGTCCAGCTGGGGTGGACTAATGTTCCAGGACTCGTTTCTGGGGGAAGTCTCTCATTTCTAGATTGTCCTGGTGCACTCTGGATAAGCTTCAGCCCATGTGTTGTCTGTGCAGGTGTCTAGCAGGTTCCTTGCTTTACATACAGTTTTTGCAGAGAGTTCTGTCATCTGCGAAACAAACATTTACATGGAATTTCTACATTAAAAAAAATGGTTTGGTTTCCCCTTTGCTTGCCTATGGTGACCAGGAAGAAGAAGAGAGCCTAGCAGAAACAGGGAAGGAAGAGCAGGGAGAGAAACAAGACCCAAAAAGCAGCGCGGAAGGTGCCAGTGAAGAGCAGGGAGAAGAGAAGCAGCAGTCTCCAGGCCAGGCAGAAACTGCCACTCCCAGAGAAGAGTCCCAGCAAAAGGAAGAAGGCGAGAAGTTGCAGTCTCAGGTGAGCTTCACATTGAAGGAGCAGGACTGTGATTTCGGTGACTGAGAAGGGGAATTTTCTCGGGAGAACGCTCCCCATTTCTGTCCTGTGCTGGAAAATGTTGGAGAACCTGCAGATCTGTTCCCTTGCCTGAGAATGTACTTTTCCTGTTACAGGATCCCAAAGAAAATAGAGAAACTGCGAAAGAGGAAGAACCGTCCAGAAGTTCCAGTGACAGCACAGTTACCAAAACAGAGGAAGAGAAGAAGATCAAAGCACCCAAGAAGCAGAAGCTTGTGCATGAGATCACCATGGAGCTCGATGTAAATGACGTGCCTGACCTGCTGGAGGATGAACTGAAGAGCTCAATGAAAAAGTATGTTTGAAATGGCTCTGCCGGGCTAAAGCTCCAGATATAAAGGAAGTGAATTGCCTTGGAAGGGTGGTGGCTCACGTAGCACTGCTGTCATCAGAAGCTGATGCATATGATGTGCTGCTCAGTTACTTTTGATTTCTGTTCTCTTTCTGTGCTAGACTCCAAGACTTGACGGTCAGAGATCTAGAGAAACAGGAAAGAGAGAAATCAGCCAACAGCTTGGAGTCATTCATCTTTGAGACCCAGGTAAGAGAGGGATATAAAGAAATGAGATTGCCTGGAGAGCAGGTGGAAGTGTCTTGCGCAGCTTGGCTGATCTGAATGCAGGGGAGTTGTCTGAGCTGGGAGAAGCCGATTTGAAGAGCCCAGCTTTCATCTTTCAGTCATTTTTACATTACCTCTAGGCTTACCAGGCCCATGTGGACTTGATATAAAAGGAAGGCTTTCCCCAAGCATATGTAACATGTTAAGCTTTAGGTTCACAGTATCTCTTGTGTGTCCTTATCTGTGCATTTTGGAACAATTGCACTCGGGCTATAAAGAAGCTACAGCTTCTCAAGAGCTGCTGTGCAGAACAGGCAACTAATGTTAAATGCATGTGAAATTACAGTTTTTGCAGCTTTACCATCGCATGCCTGGTGTGCGCGTGTCTGTACACCTGCTGTGTTACCACCATGCTCCTGGTAATGCTGGGAGCAGGAGCTTGGATTTAGGAGGGTTAAGTGAGGATCTCCTGGCCAGTGCAGGCAGCACCCCAGGAGTCCACGGTCCGGCCCCGTCACAAGCGGGTGACTGGGTGGTTTTATGCTTCCACGCTCAGTGGTATTTGACAGGAGCACTTGCTTTGTTCTTTGCAGGACAAGCTTTACCAAGAGGAATATCAGTTTGTCTCAACAGAGGAGCAGAGAGAAGAGATTTCCAAAAAGCTTAGCGAGGCATCCAGTTGGATGGAGGAGGAGGGTTATGCAGCTGCAACTAAGGTACTGCTTTGTGTATTCAGGATGCCAGGCGCTGTCCCTGACGTGGAAATGACCACACAGGCTGACTGAGGATCGATCCACCTTGATCCTTTGTAATCTGTTTTTTGCAAGCTCTTGTTTCCCCTGTGCGTTATGCGTAGAACAAAATACTAAGTTCTTGCAGCCATGTGTGCATCTGGAACAGCTTCAGCAGTAACCTGTTCACTCTGCATACAGCTTAGTCGCATGGCACTTTTTACTGTAGTGAAATAGTGTATTTGATAGAATGAGAAAACCGGCAGTTTTAACTTCTGGCGCTTACGGTGTTAGACAAACTGATTTGTCTCCTTTCCCCTCTCCCCTGTTTGCAGGATCTGAAAGACAGGCTTTCAGAACTGAAGAAGCTTTGTAGGAACCTCTTCTTCCGTGTCGAGGAAAGGCGGAAGTGGCCGGAACGCCTTGCTGCCCTGGAAAGTCTGCTCAACCACTCAGCCATCTTTCTCAAGTAAGAGCAAGCTGCTGGGAAGGAGAGTTGTGCAGCTGGTAATGTAAGCGATGCCAACAGAATGCAGCTGGATTGAGCATGGTCTGAAAAAGGTGACCAAAACCTTCCTTGCTAGTGCTGAGTTGTGCAGGACCTGTTTAAACTAGGGAATGGGATGTCTCCACTTTACACACTGTTTGCAAGCAGATTTTTCCCTCTTAGTCTTATGGCCTTAGCCTTTCCCTGTTTTTCTGGTCTCATGATAGCTGCATTTGCTGGCTCTGTGTTCCATTCTTAGCATCCAGAGATCGGTTAGGACTGTGTTTCCTGCAGAAGCAAGAGACATAAATGTAAAATGGACTAATTGCTTGGTGTGTGCACTGGTATTTCTCTTACTGTACTTACCAGAGCTGTAAACACTTGAGTTGCCCAGGTACAGTCTGTTGGGTTTTACAAAAATAAACTTCTTATCTTTAAGGGGAGCCCGAATGATCCCGGAGTCTGACCAGATATTCACAGAGGTGGAACTGAGTACCCTGGAAAAAGCCATCAATGAAACAACGGTAATGAAGGATCAAACAATTCCTGCGGAGAGTGGTGGGGGCAGTTTGGGTTCTGTTTCCTGTCCTGTCCTTCCACTGAAGGCCATGGGATAGGGTGTGCACATTTTGTTTCTTTGCCACCAGCAAACCTTTTGTGCATTCTAGCGTTTTCTAATGCTCAGCTTGACCCCAGACTGCTTTGGAGGGATAATGGGTTTTGAGTTGCATGTCGAGAGTTATCTCCAGGAGTCGTGGTTACCACTGTACCCAGTTACAGGCTTTAAAAGCAGTCGCTGGGTTTTGAGGCGTTTGTTTCTTCATTTTGCCCCACCTCTGGGTAACTAAGAAGCTGGTGGAAGTGTAGCAGGGAGCAGTGTTATCCTGAGTAGGTTAGAAGGTCCAGGAGCGGTGACTTTGGCATACTGTGATATACAGGGGTTCCTGGAACCCAAAGGATTTAAAAGTACTTTTTCCTGTCGTTCCTACAGATCTGGAAAAATGAGACGCTGGCTGAACAGAACAAGCTCTCTCCCACTGAGAAGCCTGTCCTGCTGTCCAAAGATATAGAGCTCAAGATAGCAGCCCTGGACAGGGAAGTGCAGTATCTTCTGAATAAGGCCAAGTTTGCAAAACCCAAGCCCAGAAAGGAGAAGAACATGACAAAAACCGATTCAGGCAGGAATGCTACAACAGCCTCTGAGCCCGAGAGCACTATCCCTCCCACGGAGGGGAAACAAGAAGGTAAGGAGCAGGTGGGGGACGTGTATATACTTCTCTTGTGGTTTAAACCCAGCTTGTAACTCAGCAGCATGCAGCCGTTCGCTCACTCCCCCCTTCCCCATCCAGTGCAGGATGGGGAAGAGGATCAAAAGCAAGTAAACCCCACAGGTTGAGATAAGACCAGTTTAATAATCAAAATAAAGTAAAATATAGTGATAATAGGAATAATGCCAACAATGATGATAATAGGAAACAATAAGAGAAGCAATGACAGCTCAGAAAATACAAGTGATGCACAGCACAATTGCTCACCAGCTGCCTGAGCAGCGATCAGTCCCTTCTGGGTGAATCCCCCCCAGTGTAACACATATCTCCAGTGAAACGGAGCTAAATAAATGAAGACAATAGTTAACTGTGGGAATAAATGATTCTCTTAATTTTCAGAGATAGCTGGGGAAATCTAGCTGTGGCAATGTCCTTTTCCCCTCACCATTGGCTTGGGTGCTTTTCTGTGAAGGAACAGAGAGTATTTATAAACTTCCTGGAAGGGTTAATCAGTATCTGTCTCGCTGGCTGGCTGCCTTAGAAGAAGGATATGCCATCAGTTGTGTTCTGGGTGTCCAGAGCCAAGTATTCATGTCCTGTCCTATGTCAAAGAATAGAAAGAGGAAGGTTTCTGGCTTAGATGGACCCTAGACAAGAAAAAAAATCTCTTGGGACAGGAAGACTTCGTGAACTGTGTCAGAACCCTGGGTTCTGGGCACGCTGGTCCTTTTACATCTGGCAGCTGTTTGGCAGCAGAGGTCCCTGCTGGCTCCTCTGGCCTGGGTACAAGACCCCGCTTGCAGTCACAGCTCCAAAGGGGACTGGCCTTCGTTGTGTAACCAGTGAATCTCCAGGGCTTCCAGGGATGTGAGGCTTGGCAGACAGAGGCAGTGAGAAACAAGGAGCAGTTTGGTGACACCTGAGTGTCACAGAGAGACCCGCTGGGAGAATGGATTATTGCAGTCCCGCTGAGGAGCCGTGGCTTGTTTGTAAGTAGCCTGCTCTGTATTCTCTCTTCACTTTTGTTTCTTTCTGCTTTAGATGTAGACAAACCTGAAGATATTGGTCCAGCTGTGGAGCCTCCTGCAGCTGAGCAAGTAGCGATAGACAGCGAGCCTGGATCAGACTCCGGTGGGTAAATGTTTGACTAAGCCTGAAACTCGGTAGCTACAAGTGCAAGCTGTCCGCATGCTTCTTCCCCTAGTTTTGGCTGTAGGAGGCAGCAGGGTGGTAGAAGCCCCAGTTGCAGATTGGTTGTTAATTGTGCAAGGAGGAAGACACGAATTTGGGTTCCTTACTGTTCCCATCTTCACAGTTCAGCGTAAAGGTCTGGCCTGCTGCTGCCTCCTGCCCCAATAGCCTGTGTGGCTGCAGTTCATAGCCAGCCCTGCAGCTGCGTGCCTGCCTTTGCTGAGGAGCTGATGTGCAGGCACGTGTTTGTTCTGCCATGCCTGTTGTGAGGACAGCAGTGTTCTCAGCAGGAGGGCAGGAATGGGTTCAGCGCTTTGGAGCTGAGCGTCAGTCCCCAAAGCTCGGTGTGTTCGTGGTGAACGCCAGGGCCTGCTTTGTACGCTGTAAACGCTTGCGGTGTGTGACTGAGTTTACTTCATTACACAGGGTCCAAAGAAGAGAAGAGAGAAGCTGGAGGAGAGAGCAGGAAAAATGATGAGTTATAACACCCCTGAGATCCCACTAGTGTCAACAGCTATTTATTTCATGGTTACTTTCTTGTTTTTATCACGGACCTGGCTAGTCATGGTGTAAATGGAACACAACAACCAGTCTGACAGCACAGTGGGATAGAGATGTACATTTTTATTTCCTTTCTGGGGATTTTGCCGCTACTAACTTAGTGAATTGGGGAGTTTTTTGTTTGTTTTCGTTTTCTTACGTGTTTCAGGGTGGCTCTTTGCCTACTGAGAATTGTCTGTTTCCATGCAGAAGTCACCAAAGTGACTTTGCTGTGGAGAGAAAGCCGGAAAGGAACATCTTGAGCTTAGGGAGTAACTTGGACCACAAACTCTGTGCCACACCCCTTCTAGGGATCCATGCGGGACCATTTGTAGCTGAGATGGCGGTGTCTCTCATGCGAGGCTCTGGCTTAAAGGGACCGTGTGATTCCAGTGCTGGGGGTGTTTTCTCATTTGGACTTGTTGGAAGGTGCAGCAGACGCGGGGGGGGGGCGGACGCTCGGTGCTGCACGATACGAGTGTGTGTTTTCCGCAGGTGGGTGTTAAAGTCATCTCTATCCATGCGCTGTAGCGGAGTCTGAAACCCGGGGGCTGACAAAACGCTTGTGTTTCGAGTTGGTTGTAAAATAAAGAGTTGGGAAGGGGCAGCGCTGGTGGTGCATGGGCGCGGGGCGGAGCCCGGCGGCGGCTCCGGAGCAGCACGGGCACGTTTCGGGGCTGCCCCGCCTGCCGCGGGTGGCTCCGCCGGGCCCGGAACGGAGCGCGGCGGCCAATGGGAGCGGCGGGAAGGACGGACCGGCGGTGATTGAGGTGAGCCGCGGGCAATGGAGGCCGGGCCGGAAGCGGGGCGCGGGGCGGGTCTGGGCCGCCAATGGGAGCGCGGTCCGGCGGGAGGGCGCTGCGGGACGCGGCCGCTCTCGGCGCTGCTGCCGGTCCCGGGGTCGCCGCGGCCGCCGTTGCCCGGCAGCGGAGCAGCGCGGCGGGATGGCGGCGGGCGGGTACGGGCGGTACCGCGCCGTGATCTTCGCGGCCATGTTCGCCGGGTACACGCTCTATTACTTCAACCGCAAAACCTTCTCGTTCGTCATGCCCGCCGTCATGGCCGAGGTGCCGCTGGGGAAGGACGAGCTGGGTGAGTACGAGGACGAGCTCCCCCGTGCCCCCGCCCCGCTGCTCGCTGTAACGGGCTCTCACGGGCGGGCCCGCCGCAGGTCTCATCACCAGCAGCCAGTCCGCGGCGTACGCCATCAGCAAATTCGTGAGCGGCGTCCTCTCGGACCGGGCGAGCGCCCGCTGGCTCTTCTGCTCCGGGCTCCTCATGGTGGGCTTGGTCAACGTGGCCTTCTCCTGGAGCTCCACCGTCACGGCCTTCGCGGGGCTCTGGTTCCTCAACGGCCTGGCCCAGGGGCTGGGCTGGCCGCCCTGCGGGAAGATCCTGCGGAAGGTGAGCGCGGGTGGTGGGGAAGCTGCTCCCGGCTGCTGCTCTGCCGGAACGCGAGCTCCAGGTGCAGCGCGACTCGCGCCTGTGCCTGCCTCCTTCCAGCCAAGGAGGTGGCCGTCTCTGGGAGCCTTGTGCCTGCGCAGCGATTGCCCGCGTGTGAGGGTCTGGGTATTGTGGCAAGGGTCCCCAGAGCTGCTCAGCCCGTGCGTGCAGGTGCCTTGATTCTAGGTCTAGTTCGGTTTGCGAAGTTCGCGTCTCGTGGTGGCAGACTTTCTGCACTGTGAGAGATGCGCGCTGTGGGAATCCAGCTTGAAGGCAGAGGTCTGCCTGTCTCTCCGCTGTTGTGGCAGTTTGCTGCTGGGCAAAGGGCGCTGAGCAGAATTCCATCTGCACGCTCGGGGAGCTCGGGAATTGCAAACCGCGGGCTGTCCGGGTAGGAAAGCGGGTAACGCGTGGAGGAACAGCGGGAGCTGAGCCTCCAACTCATGTGTGTGTTTGGGATCGGGTTGCTTGGCGCCTTTGGGCAGAAGGCAGGGAGGTTAGCTGTGTGTGTACCTCTCTGGGAAGATGTAAAACCCAGGAATGCACGTGCTTGCAGGATAGGGGGGGATTGACAACTGCCCTGCTCATCTAGCTGGCCAGAAAAGAACTGTCCAGAAAAGGACACACAAAGGAAGGGCCCAAATCACAGAAACAACAGAGTGTGGGCTGAAGACATGTGTGAATGGAGCTCTCGGACGTTTTCCTGCTGACAGCAGCCACCCCAGCGGTTCTGGCTCTGAGAGCACATTGCAATGCAGAGCTGATCGTGCCTGGTTCTTAGCAGGGAGTCCTAAAGTTGCCCTGTGACTCCCCGCGTATCCGTGTGCAGTGTTGTGCCAGCAGACCTCTCCAGGAGGACACTGTTCCTGGCAAGGGGGTGTGCAGAACCCTGTCCTCTCCAGTTTGCCTCTCCCGGACCAGGTCTCAGTTTCATGGTCTGTAAATGGCAACACCTTGGAGCCATGTGGGGTTCCTTGCAGGACTCACAGTGGGCGCTGCCTTTACCTGGTTCTATGGTTCTATGGGTGCTTGCAGTGCCCCAGACCCACAGTGTGGGTCTCAACCGTGGGTTTTCAGGCACGGTGTCACTCTCTTCCTCAGATCTCGTGCCCTTTTTCTTGTTGTTGCACAGTGGTTTGAGCCGTCGCAGTTCGGGACGTGGTGGTCAATCCTGTCTACAAGCATGAACTTGGCTGGAGGCTTAGGCCCCATTGTCGCTGCTCTCGCGTCCCAGAGCTATGACTGGCGCGTGACTCTGTCCTGCTCCGGCTTCATCTGCGTGGTTGTCTCTTTTGTTTGCCTTGTCCTCATTAAGAACGAGCCATCGGATGTGGGGCTGCCCAACATTGACCAAGGAGCCAAGAAAGGGAAGAAAGGTGAGCAGGAGGCTTCGCTGTAACTGGGCACCCATGGTGCCTTCGGCGTGTATTCCAGCACAGGCGCGCTGCTCCCAATGTCCTGAGCCCTCCATCCTTCCCAACTCCCACAGTCACCACGTGGTGGGCATGTGCAAAGCCCTGTTTTCAGCAGCTTTATTCTGAATGCTGAAGTTCTAAACCAAGCCCAAGTGTAATCTTACAGGAAGGGGACTGGGTCTGGCTACAGCAGCACAACAGCAGGGAATGCTTCCTTGAGCCTGACCTGCCTTTCCACGCCGGCAGAGGACAGGCAGGTCTCCCCTTACCCTGTGTAGGTTCTCTTGACCCCTGGCTTGCGGTGGACTCTGCTCAGGGTTTTGTGTTCTAGCCTAGGACAGCTAGTTAGTAAATGTTTGTTCAGACCACTGAGTACGGTGCTGTTCTGAAAGCAGAACAGGTAGAGGGGAATTGCAACACAAGTTTGCTGCAGGATTTGAGAGACCGGTGGAAACTCAGCCTATGTTCCCCACTGTCCTGCGATGCCCAGACTTGACCTCTCTGTGTAAGAAAGCAGTATTGCTTCCCAGGAGCCTTTTCTGGGGAGGATGGGTTACGATTGTAGGCACTTCTCACAGACTGAAGCAAAAATCGAGGGAAGACCTGAAAGCCAGCATCTTGGCTTGGGTCTATGTAGTGGCTGTCACAGGCACTGCTGAAAACATTAGCACAAAGTCTGGAGGAGCAGACAATTTCCCTAGCAACCTCTGCAGAGGGTTTAGTGGCAGCCGCAACACAGAACGTTGCTGGGAGGAGTGTTTTGATTATTCTTTTGAAATCCTGAATGAATGTGGAATAAATTGACAGAAAAGATTCTGGAATCACAGCAAACCCAGAACAAGGGGGAGGTAAAGCCATTCATTTCCTATGAATATCTCTCTTTATGAATATCCTCCTCTGTAGGGATGTCCTTGTGCATGAATCCCGCTCGCAGATCTGTAGTGCCGCTGAGCTGGTGTGCTTCAGGATGTGGTAATGTTCAAGCGGTGGTAATGCTCTTCCTGATCTTCCTCGCAGGTTCCTCCAGTGACAACAGCACTTTGACAGAGCTGCTGCTCTCGCCATACCTCTGGGTGCTCTCAACAGGCTACCTGGTCGTTTTTGGAGTGAAAACGTGCTGTACCGACTGGGGCCAGCTCTTCCTGATCCAGGAGAGGGGACAGTCTATGCTTGTGGGTAAGATGCAAAGCTGCCTTATTAAGCTCTGTGGCTGTTGTTGCCCAGAGCTTGACTGGGAGCAGGAAAAGGACACGGGGATCTCTGCCTGAGGGACTTGCTCCCCTACATCCTACCTGTCTGCATGGGTACATGTAGGTATTGACACCAGTGCTGAAGGGCCCTCTTGGGACTGGCAGACGGTCATCCCTGTACAAGGATGAGCTGGAGGGTCTTGTCCAGCAGAGCTGCTCTGAGCTTGCTGGGAGCTGACAGGGTTGAGCTGAGTCTAAAGCATGCAGCGGCTTCGTTACCAAACCTGATGGCCTGTCCTTTGCTTCACCTGCGTTCTAGGTAGTTCCTACATGAGCGCCTTGGAGATCGGGGGTCTGGTGGGAAGCATTGCTGCTGGATATCTTTCTGACAGAGCAGTAGCAAGAGTAAGTAACCTGGACCCTCGGGTGTGCTGGGCAGTTAACACAGCATTCATATAAACTGCTGCAGATTTCCCCCTTCTCTGGTACGCACACCAGCAGTGGAGCAGAACGCTTCCCTTGTTCATGTTGCTCTGGAGATTCAGGATACCCAGAATGCAGAGTTATGGAGCTGCTGCCTCATGCTACAGAGCAGCAGCTCTCAGTGCTGTGTTTCTTCTGTCTTCCCAAGCTGCTCTGATGGAAGCAGTTCTGTGTCTAAACTACCCTGCTCTGAGGTGGGGCTTTTGAAAATCAGAGCATTCTTGACTAACCCATCTCTCTTCCTTCACTCAGCAGTGGGCTGGGAGGGACAGGATGCATCTCAACAGCTTCAGGAAGGTGCTCAGTCAGGCTGGTGTTGCTGCTGCCTGGTACAGCTGAGAGATAGGCCCGTAGCAGCTCTGCTGGGTGCATGAGGACAGCTGCCAGACACCCTTTTTGAAGATGTTTGGGTTTAGGATGTTTGGTCTGTTTTATTTGTTGGCTTTCCTGTGCTCTCCACGTTTCCCCGTTGAAGGAGATCTGGTTGTTGACAGCTGTCTTCTGGCTGAAAAAGAATCTGCATTAAAGTCCAGTGGTGGGATCTGAAGGCAAATTCAGGGTGGAAGTAGGGTGCAGTTGATAACAGAAGTATCATTTATCACTAAGAGCATCTTGTTTAGCACAGTTGTACTGTGGGCAAACTAAACTGAACCAAGAAGCCTTGCTGAAAGGTCCACTTTGGCTCACGTTCCGTGTGTCTGAGCGGGCAGTGTGGATGGCATTAGGTACCACCAGTATAAAGCTGGAGTCCTTCCAGCTTTCACCGCCCGTTTCCTTCCCTCTGCTGTAGGTGGGTCTGTCGAGCTACGGGAACCCCCGGCACACGCTGCTGCTTTCCATGATGGCCGGGATGTGCGTGTCCATGTTTCTCTTCCGAGTCACGGTCACCAGCGAGTCTCCCAAGGTAATCCATGCGTGCGCCGCTGACCGTACCTGGCCAGGGTGGCCTCACCAGGGTGGCCTGCTGGCAGGGAGCCTGTTGTCTTCACCCTTGCCGTGCGGCACAGCGAAGCAGCCTCCCTTGGCCTGGGCTGGGCAGCTTCTGCCAAGGTTGGCTTGGGTGGCCTTCGCTACCTGCTGTAGTGTAGACATGGCTTGTCTCTGCCTGCGTGATTGCTGGATAAATGAAACCTCTTTTCTCCTTTCCTTTGTTTCTTCTTCAGGAAAATCACTTCTGGACTGTAGCCTTGCAACCTCTAGCTGACCTTACAGGCCTCAAGGAGCATGAGGTTTCTGCCTTGCATTTTTCCTCCCTCTGCCTGTTTCTGCTTTTGCTGATCTGCCCTTTTCCTGTCCTGGGAGGTTGGTTAGCACTACAAAGCTTAAAACCAGGGCACTGAGATTACTGTAAGTTTTGTAACAGAAACCTTTTCGTGTAGTCTTTTGATTACACTGACTGACTGTTAAAAGTCTGGATATAAAACTTGTAAATTCTTATTTCAGAGGTTCGGAGGACATTTGCTCCTCAGTTAAAATGCAGCCAGTTAAGGAGTCCTGCGAGTGGGCTCAGGAGGAATTATCCTGCTCCTGCATATGCCTTCCTGCTTGCTTTTCTGCAAGTGTTTTCCTAACTCTTTGTTTCTGTTTCCCATCTGGAAAATAAGATGGCATTTACTTACTTCTGCACGTCTTGAAATGGTGTTTGTAGTTCAGAAAGCATGTTGTAACCTTGAGGAGGGCAATTACCCTTTGCTGTCCTTTCACACGTGAAAAACAGGTAGTTTTTTCAGAGCGTGAACTAACACTGAAGTTCAAGCTGTCAGGGTTTTTTGGGTTGGTTTGTGTTTGTTTAGTAACATAGAGATTGTCAGATGGTGGCTTCTTGTAAATACAGGTGCTCTGACCGGTCACTCACATCTCAGATGAGAAAACCTTTTAGCTGGTGACTCCAGGGTTGTTTTAAAGTGACCCGATCCACACCTCTCCTGCGGTTTTGCCCATCTCTCCTCCACGGTCTGGTTCTCATGCAAAATGGCTCCTGTTGTGTGAGCACGGGGTAGGGGCAGAACTGTGGGAGAGAGGGGGGCTCACGGTGGCCGAGAGCACCACATGGGGGCTGTCACAGGCTTGAGCTCTTCTGTCAGCAGGTCAGGGAGTCGGTGTCAGCCCGAAAATGTCAAAACTTCCCCGTACCGCGCGCAGCATCACGGTTGGTCAGCAGCTGCTGACTGACAGGGGAGGGTGCACGGATCCTGTTTCTGATCTTAACGTGTTTTCACAGCTGTGGATCCTGACCCTGGGAGCTGTGTTCGGGTTCTCCTCGTACGGGCCCATCGCCCTGTTCGGGGTTATCGCCAACGAAAGCGCCCCTGCCAACCTGTGTGGCACCTCCCACGCCATAGTGGCCCTCATGGCCAATGGTGAGTAGTGCCCATTTTCCTGAAAACCAAACAAAACCCACGTGTGTTCTTGCTGGAGCATTGCCCACCGCTGGGTGCCAAGCTCCTGGTCATGGGAAGCCTCCCAGGAAACGGAGGCCATAGAGCTGGAAGCCTCAGGGATGCTTCTTGCTGTGCCTGATGGGTTTTGCCTTGCGCTTGAAGTTCAGACCATGCCTGAGAAATCTTTACACATGCAAACCCGAGTATCAGCAGATCAAATTGAGACACAAGCATTGCTGGGTTTCTCTTTGTTTCTCCTTGCAGTTGGGGGGTTTCTGGCTGGACTACCCTTCAGTACCATTGCCAAGCACTACAGCTGGGCCACAGCCTTCTGGGTAGCCGAAATCACCTGCACTGGCAGCACAGTGGCTTTCTTCTTACTGCGCAACATCCGCACCAAGATGGGCCGGATTCCCAGGAAGGCTGACTGAGGAGAAGCTGCTCGGTGAAAAGGAGCCTCTCTCACCAACGGGAATGATGCTTGGATTTTTGTTTAACTGGAGTGAGTTTACCTATTGCTGCAACCTACATAAAAATATCTCAATTTCTCATTCACTGTCAGGTGCCAGAGGGCACAAGGTTCTTGCTGCTGATCACTTTTTCCCTCAAGATGTGATAATTCAGGTAGTTTACACGGGCAATGATTTTGCTGCACCTCCTCACGGCACTGCTGGGGAAGCACCCAGGCTTTGCAGCCTGAGCTCCTCTGCTAAAGGGACTCTGAAATGACTGGCTTCAGGTGCTGTCAAGTTGAGTTTTGTCCCTGCTGTTTTTCTTGGCCATTAACTTTTTGATTCTGCTTCGCTCTCAGCCCTGGAGCAGCGACAGCAGTGAATGGTGATGATTAGAGCTGGGCCTCATGGCTCTTTTGAGAGCAGCGTGGCTTTAGCTTGACCCAGGATTAGTTGTTAGGAGAGATGGAGGTGTTTTGCTCTGGAGAGGTGGAACGCTGGTGTGGTGCTGTGGCGGGGCTCTTGCAGCACCGGGAAACAGGCACGTTTCCAGGAAACCCTCGGCACTTTAGGGGAGAGCATTCAGAGAAGCTCCTTCTATTGAAGTGATCCTGCCTGGTGCAGTTTCTGTGTAGTGTTAATGATTTGCAAGGGAGGCAGCTGCTGCCATGGCAATGTGCAGCCAGCGCTCTGCCCGTCAGCCTGGAAAACCCACGCAGCAGCAGGTATTGTGACAGCAGCTGCAGGGGTTTTCCGGGTCTCTGGAAAAACACCTATTTTTAGTGTTGGCTTGTGTTTTGTTAGTACACAGAGTGTAGTCTAGGGTGGTTTTGGTCAAGAGCTGCATCTCTTATGGCTGTGGGCATGGGCTTGGGCTACTTCCGAGTCAGCCTTAGCAGAGCCACCACTGGCAGCCTGCAGCACTTGGGGCCCAGCACTGTTTGCAATGAATACTCAGGTTTTTAACCAGGATTTAGTTGAATACTCTTGGCTTTCCCCAAAAGGATTTACTGCTTTAGGGCTCTGGAAGAGGCAGTTCTCGTGCAGAACGTGCACGCAGGTACTGTGCTGTACAGCATGGTTGCAAGAGTAGGTAGCCAGCCTTAATTAAAACAGTGGAAGTGAATTACATTTTGTACTTAATTCTCTGATCTTCTATGTGAAATAAAAATGGAGCAGTGTCACAAGGGCTGTGGTTGTCTTAGGGAGAACGGCGCAGGCAGAACCACCCAAACCTGCTTATCCTCTTAGGGTGCTACTGGCACAAATTTACCCTGCCAACAGAAAACAGCCATCCACTTCTTCAAGGAACATTTATTACTCCTGCATAGAAACCCTTTGCAAAACCATAAGTTAGAGCTGTACAGGAAAAATACATATGTACAGTTCTGAAATGAAAGCAAGCAATCAGCTGCAGTAATGCCACGGACCCACGCCTCGCTGCCTTTCTTCACTCGAGGGCACAGCAGAATAAGCCTCTGTGGTCGTGTGTAAACAATCCTGACTAATCTTTTGCAGGTAAATCTCGCAACCGGGGGATAACCGAGTATCTTGGGAGATAGTGGAGCACATCTGGGGGCTTTGCAGTCTCTGATGTGAAGGAGAGGCCCTGCTCTTCAGGGGGAGAGAAGAGTCAGTGCAACAGGGGAGGCTTTCTCTATGACCCAGGTCCGAAGGGTCCGGCTTTCTCTGCCACCTCCAGAGCAAGTTTCAAGTTCTGATCAAACAACTCGCATCTGTAACAGAAAAGCAGAAGGGGGTGACTTTACCTACAGAACAGGCTAACAGAGGCAGGATCTCCACATCCTTCAAAGAGAGATTCCCTAAGTCACGAGACCATGACCTGCTGCTATCAGACTTTGACCTGGCCATTACTTAAGGTTACAGCTTCTCGTATGGGCTCAAGTGTGACATTAGGGCAGCAGGGTTTGTGCCAAGGAGGAGTGGCTCCCACTTCCCCAGGAGAGCAATACCAGAAGGAGCACAGGTCAGTGCCCTGCCCCTGCAGCCATGTGCTGTGTTCTCCCCTTCCCTCAACCCCTGGGTCTGCTCTGCCACAAAGCAGGGGGGCTGTCAGCATGTGTTACCGCACAGGCAGAGTGAGGAGGGGTGGCAGCTGCACTATCAAAAGCGGGCTTTTCTCTACCTGATGGGCATCTCCAGGGAGTAGAAAGGATTCTTCAAGGCGAAGTCAGAGTAAATCTCGTAGATCTTGCGCAGAAGGGAGTCTATCCCCGCCTGCCTCGGGTCGGCGAGAACCACGAATTTGATCCCTGGAGCCATAAAGGCAGGGGGTCAGGAAGGCTGCGCTCCGTGACAGCCCTGGCCAGGCCAAGCGGTGCTGTGCCCGGGGCTGAGCTGTACCTGTCAGCGTCTGGAAGCAGTGCAGCTTGAAGGTGTCTGTCTCCAGCATCTCGATCCCGGAGCTCCCGATCTCGGGGGACAGCTGGGACCCGATGGCGAACAGCCTGTGGGGAGAGGGGTCCTCAGTGCCCCCGCACCCCCCGGCCCTGCCCCCCGGCCCCGTCCGTCCCGCGCAGCTCACGAGTGGAACATGGAGGCCAGCATGAGCTTCTCGTTGGAGGAGAGGCGGTGGCGGCCGAAGCGGATGGACACGGGGTAGTTGGCGGGGTTGCCCAGGAACTCCAGCACGTCCTTCCCGTCCGCCGTGAAGCGCCCGTTGACCTCGGCGCCGTTGATGGCCAGCACGGCATGTCCCACTGCGGGGACAGCGCGGGGTCAGCCCGGCCCGGCCCGACCCGCTGCCCCCGGCCCGCCCGCCCGCCCGCCGACGCACCGCGGATGCCATCGCGCTGTCCGAAGGCCACGACGACGCGCTCGTCGTGCGGGCGCAGGACGAGGTCGAGCGGGAAGCTGAAGGTCTTCTCGGTGTCGGCGCGGGGCGCGTAGTGGTCCAGCTGGTAGATGAGCCCGCCCGCCTTGTTCACCACATACACGCTGAAGATCGCCATGGCGGACCCCCGCCCGCCCGGAAGCGGCCCCGCGCCGTGCCCCGGAAGTCGCCCGCCAGCACGGGGTTTCCCCGCGCCCCGCGCCAGGCGCTTCCTTTCCGGGACGACATCTTGTGGAGCAGCCCCGCCGCAGCATGGTGAGCGCCGGGCGGGCCGCGGCGGCGGGCGGCGGGGCCCCGCGGGGCCGGGGGGAGCCTCCGGAGGTCGCCCCGCTGCCCGCCGCTCATCGGCCGCGCTTCTCTTGCCCCCCCGCAGCCGCCCAAAGACGACAAGAAGAAGAAGGACGCGGGCAAGTCCGCCAAAAAGGATAAAGACCCGGTCAACAAGTCCGGCGGCAAAGCCAAAAAGAAGGTGGGAGCCGGCGGGGAGCGGGGGGGGGTGTGCGTGGCGGCGGGCTCCAGGGGAGGCTTTTGGGCCCTCACCGTGTGGCTGGTGCGTGGCGGGGTGGGGGCACACGGTGGTGGTGGGGGAGCTGCTGCTTCATCGGGCAGCAGAGCCGCGTGTGGTGGAGGCAAATCCGAGGAAGAAAAGGCTGTGGTTTTAGGCGGAGCTTTAGGCCCGTCGGTTGGAGATGCTGTAGGTGTTATCTGCGGTGTTTACGTTTATAAAGACGATTCGGTGCGTCTTGTTAGGCCTTTAATCTGGAAGTGATGTGGAGACGTTTGATGGGACATCCTAAAACCGGATCGTAGAATCATAGAATGGTTAGGGTTGGAAAGGACCTTTAGATCATCTAGTTCCAACCCTGCCGCCATGGGCAGGGACACCAGGATCTTTCATTATAGTTTAGAAGATGACTTAGGGCTTGTTTTTCTGTTTCCAAGTAGAAGTGGTCCAAGGGGAAAGTGAGAGACAAGTTGAACAACCTTGTCCTGTTCGATAAGGCCACCTATGACAAACTGTGCAAGGAAGTGCCCAACTACAAGCTCATCACGCCTGCGGTTGTCTCAGAGAGACTGAAGATTCGAGGCTCCCTGGCGAGGGCTGCCCTCCAGGAGCTGCTCAGCAAAGGTGAGTGCTCAGAACTGTTGGGTACATTCCTTGCTCACTTGGCAGATCTCGTGCTGCATCTGTAATAGACAAGCGGGTGTGCTTTTGGCAAGCCCCTGCCTTAGCTTGTGTTCCAGAAGTGCTCCAAAGCGAGGAGCAGCAGCTCTGCTGCATTCACTGGTGTGCTGTGCTAAGGAAATGCTGCTCAAAGGACGGGTGGTGACAGAGCTGCTCCCAGACCTGAACAGAAGCCATGCACAAGCACGTGTGATTGGGTGTGCTGGTGCTCCCTCTCACACATTGGCCGGTCTCAGAAGGGAGCACAAGGTCCCTGACCACCAGCACACACGCCCTCAGGTACTTTCCTTTTCTCGTAGGTTTGATCAAACTGGTGTCCAAGCACCGAGCGCAAGTGATCTACACCAGGAACACGAAAGGTGGAGACGCGCCTGCTGCAGGGGAGGACGCATAGCGAGGAGGTGAGGCAGTGGCTCCACGTGGGAGCCACTTTGTGCTTTGTTGGGAGCTAACACATGGCTGCACCTTGGGCGACTGTGCTACTTCGGGTGGGCTGTGCCTCTGGGTGTTGAGAGGACATCGCTTGTGCTCCAGAGCAGTTGGTGATTGTCCCTGTGCGTGCTCTCCCATCGGTGTGCTTTCCCTTCTGTCACAGGGCACTGTGCAAAGTGTTCTTGTTGGAGCAGAGCTTGCAGACCCTTTGTGTTTTGACCTGCTTGTCTGATTTAGGACTTCTTGCCTTGCAGGTTCCCCAGTGGCCCCGTCAGCAATGTGTCCTATGTAGATGCACGCAATAAAATTACTGAAATAATTTTTCTTGCCTTTTCAAGATTGTGTATGTTTCATTATTGGTAGTGGATTCTGGGCCAGGTTATGGCTGCCTTCCTCTGCCAGGCAGTTTTTGCATTTATAGGGTGTTTGCAATGTCTTGTGAACATGCTTTTGTATTGTGAAAGGGAACTTTTGTGTCACCTACAGCAGCCAGAGATGTTAAACCATGTTGAGATGCAGTTGGAGGAAAACTGAAGCCCGCTTCTGTGGCTGGGGAAGGTCCTAGCAGGATATTTTCAGTATTTCTCAAGTTCCTGCAGACCAGCCGTACCCACAAATCTTTGTGCAAGGCAACAGCAGATGTCAGGTTAATGTCTCAGGGGGAAGTGTTGATAAGCAGCTCTAAATAAGGCTAAAAGCATTTTATTTAAATTATAAAAGTTTATTTCTCAAAACCTCATGTGTTTAATGGGATGTGATGCTACACATTGGCACAGGACACATGGCACCGGAGCTGCTGGTGGTGGGACTGCTGCACTGTGGCCAGGCACCAAACACAACCAGATGTAGGTATTAAATAAGAGCACTAAACTTTGCATAGCAGCACTGACAAAGCTGCAGCTTCCTGCAGTCCACCTTCCCACAACAGAGCTTGTTTTCTTCCCTGCTCCTCTCCTGATCACCTTTTTTTCTTTTCCCCCGATTCAGTTCTAAATTGATGCCTGAAAGACAGTGTAGAAGTCAGAAGGCAGCACCCTTTAGAAAGAGGTAATGAACACTGCCTCACCCCACAAGACAAGTAAGACAGGGCACAGCTTTAGAACAGCAGCTCTGGTTTTGCTCTCAGAGCGGCAGCAGCCTCTCCAGGTAGCTGGCACAGATCTGTAACACACGAGAGGTGCCAGCAGGCCAGTACACGGGTCTGGAAGGTAAGGCAGGCACCTGCCTCTGCAGCCACTGCTGTGCTTAACCCCGTGCCAGGCTGGCATGGTGTGACCCGTGCAGCGAGACCCCTCCTGACGCTGCTGCCAGAGAGCCTGCTCCATGAGTGGCCTGTATGCATGGAGGCCACAAACCCTGCGCTCCGCAGGGGCCTGTGCTGCCCTGAAGCTCACCTGGACTGCCACCTCCTGCCGTGGTTCCACACACGCCCGAAGGAAGGGAGCCAGCTGTCACTGGTCTGAGAGGTATGGTCAAAGTTGGCACCCACGCGCTCGGGGGGCAGCTTCCTCAGCTTCTGCTTCTCCTCTAGAAAAGTTTTTCATTCAGTGAGTTTCTCTGTCGCAGTGCTTTTGGTTCTTTAGTGTGGAAACTTGAATGTGAGGTTAACTGAAATGAGCACAAGCTGCTCACTTTGTTTGAGAAATTCCTCGTATGAAGGTCCAATTTGTTTGCTTCCCTCCTCTTCCTCCTCCTCCTCCTCCATTAGCCATGGAGGTTTTGCACCTAGGAGACACAGATAATGTATTTAGCTACTGTAGTTACCCTAAACTTGTGATGGGGAGAAGCATCCTCCCTTCCCTCATCCCTGCAGCTCTCCCTACCCAGCAAGCAGTGAAGGACAAGTAACCCTGGGCCTTTGCTCAGCTGGCAGTGGCAGAGCATACCCCACACCGTACGTTCCACACAGCACCGAGTTTTTGAAATACAGGACCTTTCTCTTCTCTAGCATGTCACCTATAAGCAAAGGCACGAGCACCTCCTGCTTGTGCTGTGGCTGCTTCAAAATAACTCAGTTACCCCTGTGATACTGACAAGCCAGGAGCTTTCAGCAGGGCACCACCTGAGCGAGCTGCAGATGCAAGTACCTGTGTGAACGTTGCCTTTCCCTTCTGTATCCTGTCAACAGAAACAGAAAACACTGATGAGAAACTGATGCTTTTAAGAGTGTTCCTAAACAGACCAGAACTGAAAAGTACTATGTGCGTTCCCTTTCAGAGCAAGGTTCTGTCACAGGAAGGGAGAGGCTTTCCTCTACTTTCTTTAGGGATATTTGTTTTTATAGGGTGTGTTTTAGAACGTTTGCTTAATGAAACATAATGCTGGATGAGTGAAACCCTCTGCTCCTTGCTCGCCTGAATCTGCACAGCTGTGTTTTTTGTGACAGAGTCTGCAACTCCTTGTTTTCCTTCATAACACCCTCTGTAGCCCCTGTGGTTAAACTGAAGTTGTGCTCATTAGCCAGTCACCCCTACCTGGTGGCCGATGAAGGTCAAAGCCTGGCTGGGCTCCATCCAGTTTAAGTCAGGTCCCATGTGTGTCCCACTTGGGCCAGGCTGCTCTGCATCATGAGAGGTGTCCGTGGAACACAGAGGCAGCCTGAGAGGTGAGTGACAGCTGCAGATGGGTGGACAATACCTGTCCAGAGGCTTCTGGAGCAGAGTTTGTGTCTGTGTTTGGAGAGTTTTGTAGCAAGATGGGAAAGAAGTGTTCTCGGGGTACCACAGTGTTACCACTTTGTGGTTGTTGGTGCTTACACATGTGTGGAGGGCAGAAGAATCTCTGTGGTGCTTATGATGGATAAAAGTTTGTGAAGGATCTGAGCGAGCTCATGGCAGCAGCAAACAAATGAGGCCACTGCCACGGCAGGGCCATGGCTTCAAGCGGGGTACATGTGCAGGAAGCGGTTCTCACCTCTGGGGTGCTGCCGGGGGGCCATGGGAGGCAGGTCCTGCGCGAGGCTCTGGCTCCGTTTGAAGCTGAGTGTGATTCAGGAAAAAGGAACACTATTCCTGGTGCTGAGCAGCGACACCCCCCTCCATCCACTCCCACCTCCACCCCCCCGAGCGCTCCCGGTTCCGGCGGGGGTGCGTGTCCCGGTCCCCGGTCCCCACCGGGGCGCAGCAGGGCAGGATACGGCTCACCGACCTGCAGGGCGGCCCGCACCGTCTCCCGCTGCCTGCGCTCGGCCTCCCGGATGTCAGCTGCCATCTGCGGGGAGAGCGCGGGTGAGGCGGGGCCGGGCGGGTCCCGGTTCGCTCCGGGGCCGGTCCGGGGGCGTACCTGTCGGATGCGCTCCTCCTCCCGCCGCTGGTGCGCGGCCACCGCCCGCTCCAGCGCTCGCGCATAGCGCTCGTACTCCTCGGCCGGCACCACGCAGTGCTCCCGCAGCGCCGCCTCCGCCCGCTGCTCCCGCCAGAACCGCGCCGTCTCCCGGCGGTGCTCGGCCCTGCGGGACCGGGTCAGCGCCGCCCGCCCGCTCCGCTACCCCCGGCCCCCCCGCCCCGCCGCCGCCGCTCACCCGGCCAGGTGCTGGAGGAGCGCGGCCCCCGGCAGCGCCAGCGGCCCCCGCCGCCCGTCCCGCCGCACGCCGCGCCCGCAGCACGGGCACCACACGCGCCGGTCGTGCTCCGCCGGGTCGTAGCGCAGCACGGCCGCGCCGCCGCCGCCCTCCTCCTCCTCCCCTGCCGCCGCCGCCGCCGCCCGCGCCGCCGCCACCTCCTCCTGCAGGCGGCCCAGCGCCTCCCGCAGCCGCCGCCGGTGTGCGGCGCTGTACAGGTGCCGGCGGCCCGAGAAGGAGGAGCGGCGGCACAGCGCGCAGTAGTGCACCGCCATGGCCGCTCGGCCGCTCGCACTGCGCAGGCGCGGCCGCGAGGCGGGGCGGGGTGCACGTGCCCCGGTGCCCCGGTCGTGTCCGAAGCCTCCGTTGCCTGCGGGCCGCGCTCGTTTGTCCCGCAGCTCGTGCATGGACTTGCTCTGGAGCCGCCTCCTGCATCCCCGAAACACTGAGCCCCGCCGAACCGCCGTGTGACGCCGGCTGTCGGGTACCATCGGCTGATGCCTCCTAGCCATCCGCACCTCTGAGCGCATCTGAAGTGTTTGGGGGTTGTGTTCAGTAAGAGCAGGGGATACTCATGGTCTGCGGGAGGTTTAGACTGGGTATTAGGGAGAATTTCTTCCCTGAAAGGGGAGCCGAGCACTGGAAAACGCTGCCCAGAGCAGTGGTGGAATCATCGTTCCTGGAAGGGTTCAGAAAACCCTAAGATAAGGCCCGTAGTGACATGGTTTAGCGGTGGCCTTGGCAGTCCTGGGGTAGAAGTTGGGCTTGATGAACTTGAATGTCATTTCCAACCTGATTGATTCTGTAATTCCAGCCTGGCCCGACGGGAGGCGAGCATCAAACTGGAGCCGCAAGGTTACCTCAGTGGTGCCATCCAGGGCAGCCAAGGCCTTCAGAGACTGTTCACCTTATGTCAGGTCCTGCTCGGACACACAGACAGACAACCCGTGCTGTCGCATGTGGGACTGACAGCCATCCTGCACTCCTGCAGTGGCTCGGGTGGCATTAGTGCCCAGCGGTGCAGAGCTACTCTGCAGGGTGGTTTGTATGCTGCTCAGGAAAAGAGGTACCACCCTAATGTGCACATTTAGACTCTGTCAAATCCCTTTTAGTGTGTCTGTTCCTTCGTGCTCCTGTGGACACGCAGGTGAAAGGAGCCAGCCTCCAGCCTAGCAGTGATGTGGATCCCTGCCCACTGGGTTTGCAGTGCGGGGGGCAGGCACGTGGGCTTGGAATAACATCTGTGTGGTAGGGACTCTGCACTCCCAGCCAGGTAAAGCATTCTGTGCCACTGGCCTGAGGCGCTTTGTTAAGACACAGATTAACCTATTCCTGCAGCTCAGTTCTCTGCACTGCAGGAGCATTGCGAGAGGCAGCAGCGTGCATGGAGGACTTTGTGTTACAGGCATAGCGGGTGCCAGAATGCCTCTGCAACTCATGCGTCTGGCAGAAACTCACCTTAATGAAGGAAATGAAGTATTGACCATCTTTCTTCTCTCCCCCCCCCCCCCCCCCTCTAAATTTGAGTCCTTATGTCACAATGCTCATAATTTCCACATGTGGTTCTTGTGAAGCTACCTGTGGCACCACCTCAGAAAACGGGCTTCGTTTGAAAGCGCATGGCACATCTTTCAGAAGCAGGGAGCCAGAAGGAATCATAGCCCAAACAGAGAGCTCATCAGATCTGCAAAAGAGAAAGTGAGAAGTTGGGATAGGTACTTGGGCCAAAACAACTGCTCAGGCACTGATGCTGCAGCCACAGTCCTGTCCCATATTAAACTGCCAGCTATTGCAGGGACTGAGATGACAGCTCTGTGTTTGAAAGCAGCCTGGTTGGCTTTGTCTTGCTGTGTTGGGCTCTTGGCCAGCCCGATGACCGAGCCCTGCTTGCGGAGCATCTCTGCAGGGATCTCCAAGTTTCTGATGTCACCTCCCAGAGCAGTGTCCCCCAGTGCTGGGGGCTGCATAGTGCTTGGGTGCTCTCCTGCTGCAGGAACCTCATAAAACCTGATGTGCCCTGCTGTTTGCAGGGCTCCTGCCCTTGGAATCGTACCCGGGTTGCTCATGCTTTGGCACACCAAGTCGAGCGCCTCTTTAGTCAGGGCCTGTGCTTCCTCCTGAAACTTTCTGCATCCTCCTGGAGTCAGTTTCCACAGGCAGGACCTGTGGTTTCCTTTGGCGCACGTGGAGCTGGTACTTTTCTCGAAGCAGCTGCTGAAGCACAGCTTGTGCCGGATCATGCTTTTCCAGCCCTTTGGGGCTGTCTGAAAAAATGGGAAGTGCTGCCTGTGGAGAGAAAAGATTTGTCCTGGGCTGAAGCCCTTGGAGGCTGTGATAAATAACAGAACACGTGGAGGGAAGGAGAGGAGGGTCCTCCCCAAGCCCTGCAGTGGGAGGCTGGCTGGTGCACTCGAGACACAGAACTGAAATCCCAGCTTTGGAGACACAGGCTTGGGTGTTGCCAAAGAGGGGAGGCAGTTCCCTCAGCAGCATCTTGAGCTGAGGGCAGAGCTAAGACCCAAACGTGAGTCCTGGCTGCCACATCCCTGCTTCCCAGCGGAAGATCAGAGACCCCTGTACCCCTTGCAGTCCCTCTTCCCCTCATTCTGCACTAGGAGCTGGGAGAAGAGCGGGTACCGTGTGAACTGGTAGATCTGCTGTACAGTTAGACTGCCACCCGCACTGTTGCACAGGGCGATGCTGATGAGGGTGCAGTAATTAAGGGGGGGACGGGGCCAGCCCCCCTCAATTTTGGCACTCATCTGCCTGGGGCACTTGAGCTTCATGCTCTGAGGACTGAGGACTGTGGATTTCCAAGGCACCAGCATCATCCTGACTTCAGGACTTTTCAGCATCTCCTGAGGAACTGGGATGTCCACACATGAAGCAGCTTCATCCGCAGTAAGCTGGGGAGAAGAAGGAGAAAAAGAACATGGATTTATTAGCCCTGGGTAGAATGAGGGACAGGGATAAGCTGCTTTGTTCTGGCAGAGAGCTTACAGAAAGCTCATACGCTTTAAATTTCAGCCTCTGTCCCTGCACTTTGTACTCTGAGCCTGTTTGTCAGGCAGGCTCCGTGCATCGGCTGACCAAGGCTGGAACGGGAGCTGCTGAGCCCGCTTGTTGCCCAAGCAGCTCCCTTCTGTGTACCTTTCTAGCCTTACTGGAGGGTGACAGCACATCCTCCTTGGAGCAGTTCAAGTCGGAGCAGGAGTTGTCCCACGATGTGTTCAGAGAGGAGCTTCCTGTGGCACCAGCAACTGAGGACACGAGGCTTTTGGATGTGGCTGGGTCTGATCCAGGGCTCCCAGGGAGGGGACAGGCCAGGCTGGGGTTTACCCACATCCACAGATGGGGCTGAGCACCCTGACCTAAAAGGAGGAGATATGTCACCCTGCCAGTCCTGCCTGAGGACAGTTTCTAGACCTGCTGTCCATAGGCAGCCTGGGGAAGCTCTAATGCAATGCAAATCCCAAGGCGAAGGTCCCCAGTTGCCTCCTCATCGCCCTAAATAGCGTTTGCTTTCCTGTTTTGTGTACAGAGTGCATGCCTGTGTGTTCTTGCACCACTGTGGCCAGCCCAAACAACAGTGCTCAGCTCTGAAAGTTTACCTTCTTTTTCCCCTGTGAAGCCAGATGAGTGCAACTCACCCCCTTCACCCTCTTTTTGAGTTCATCTACCTGAAAGGCTGCATTTGGAGGGCACAGCTGTAATTACAGCCATGTCCTTACCTTGCCGGATTTCTTCAGTGCTGGTGAGTTTCAGCTCCTCTGCCATGTCCCAGTCCTCAAGGCCATGTTGTAAGTGCAGGCTTTCCCAAAATGCCTTGTTTTGGAAACTCAAGTCCATTTTCTTTGGGTGCCAAAGGTACCTTTGGGTGCCGAGGGCAGCAGGACCTGCGAGGGGGGCACAAAGGATCCCCTGAGCTTAAAGTGCTCTGGGAGCTGGCTCAGTGTCACACATGTTTTAAAAAGGGTATCACACAGGTGGGTGAAGGGCTGGTCTCTGTTTCACACTTCTAAATACCTATTAGAGCCCATCCTAGGGAGGCAATGCCCATACTGGCAGAACAAGGGAGCTGATTGAGAGTGGGATAGGTCACACCACACAGGCTGTTTTCTGCCCATTTACTTTGCTAGAGCCTTGGTAGATCAGCCACTGCTGTTCTCACTGGGCTGGCATTTCATTTCTTTCTGCCTCTGATGATAAGATCACAGCCTTACCTACGCTCTGCAATGAACTTACCTGGTCTGAGAACATCAATGTCTCTGGAAGCAGGACGGATCTCTGAGGGATGCACAGAGTGCTCAGGTACCAGGAGCTCCCTCACCCTGCTTGCCTGGGAGTAGTGGGGTTTAAGACTGGAAAGTGCTGTAGGTCATCCCAGGCAAAACACCAAGGGGGGGACCACAGTTGAGCAAAGGAGCCAGGCTGAGTAGAGCCTGGGTGTGCTTTCAGTCTCTTAGAAACTTTGTGTGCACTTTCCTGAATTGCTTTTCTTTCTTCAGCCACATCTTTCACACACGGCCCCTGCCTAATCTGTCCTAGGGCTGATGAAGGAAGCGATGTAGTTTGTGCTAGTAAAGGGTACTTGTCACACATCCTCGTCCTTCTGGCCCACTCACTGTCACTCCTCTGCTGGGGAGGGGATGCGGGAGGCAGGTGGCACTGGTGGAAATGGAGTAGCTACACACCAAAATCCAAGCTTGGCTTTGTACCAACAGGCAATTAGATTTCAGACTCTCTACATATGTTGACCATTTTGCAGGAGGACACAGGTTATGCTGGTAGCGGAGGAGTACAGCAGGGACTTGCAGGGGGTTGAACAGAAAGAGGCAACGCTGGCAATTGCTGGCAAAGGTTGTGCCATAACATTAGTGTTACGATGTTGGGAGAATCCCAGCTTTAAAAGTGAATTCCCTGACCCTTGCACTAGAGGTTTGTCTTGGAGTTGTTTGGGTTATTTCTGTGTAATGAAAGAAAAGGGGAGATGCTTCCTCCTGCTGCAGGCTTGCTCTGCAGTGCTTTGGGCCAGATGTCCCTGCCCTGTTTGCTGTCACTATTCTCAGCCTTTGAGTGTTTACATCTTTTGGGACAGGCTGTTAAAAAATGAGTCAAACACTAAACCAAGCTTTTCTGGACAAGGTAACCTTCAAAGGGCAGCGGGAAACCTGGCACACTCGGGTTTGCCTCCTCAGTAAAAGCAGCTATGATAGTTTGTGTTGCACTGAGGTTTGCTTAGTCCTTGTTAGGCATTCCATGATTATCAATCAGGTCAGTGTGGCGTGGCTTTTGTGAGATGCAGAAGGCTCTCCTCACACTGCTTTTCCCACCCTCGTGTGACAAAGTTCAGGTGTTTGCAGAGACACCTGCGTGCTCCCTCCGGGTCAGATGCCTCAGGTGTGAGCGGGACACACTTGCTGGCTTGCTTTCCTCAAAACCCCAGGCCAAACCCATTCTCCTTCCTGAAACTGGAGCCTGCTGTTTGACTTGGGATGTGTTGCAAACAATCCAGCTACTGCAGTTTAATAATTTACCACGTATCACTGGACATGTCACATCACGAAGTTGCTTTCCCCTTTCTGTCTGGAGCTAAACTCTCACACAGTGGTGTATGTATCAGCTGAGGCAGAGTAATTCATTAAGCCTGTGGTTATCTATGTGCACCCTGAATTGATGCCTCACCTACCCACGTAACCTTTGGTACTTTGACAGTAAATGCACACAAGAGTGCTGGGCTGGGCGCAGCGATGTCCATCATCTTGGAACAACGTGAGTATTTGGGGGGGGACTAAAGAGGTCCTGCGAAAGCTGGATCTCGCACGCAGGTGAAGTGTCTTGCCCTGCTTTCTCTTCAGCCAGCGTGGCTTTGGGAGAGCAAGCAGGGCAGCACGCTGATGTGAATAAAAGGCAGAAGGATATCTGGGGATGGAACCTGTCCGTGGGAAGGACACCGTTCCCTGTGCTGCTCTGCAGGAGCTGCCGGGGGACAAGCAGGACGTGCGGCTTGGCCACAAGAGGCCGTGTGAGCTGGTGTTTTGCACATTGGTTTCACCTGTAGCTGCTCTGGAGTTAGGTGCGGGCTCCCCAGCAAAAGCTCCCGCAGAGCAATAAAGGAGATGAGAAACAGCTGCAGGCAGCAGTTATAAGATCTTCCTTTCCTCCGTCCTCCCTCAGTTTTCAGTGTCCTCAGTGAAGGCTGCAGCTCTCTGTGGAGCTGGTAAGTAAAGCCAGGGGTAGGGCATAACATAATACAATACAGAGCTCTGCTCTGAGCAGTTGTACTCGCACTCTCTCAAAATGAGGTGTGAAAAGAGCCTGCTGATATTTCCTGCCTGGGCTGCGGGGAGGGAAAGCGTTGCCCGTGTACTCATGTTTACTTCTCGCTGGTAAAGATTTGAGGTGCCGCTGTAACGCGAACAGGGAAGGGAGCCCTGTGATCTGCAATGGCGCTGGCAAAACTGGGAACAGAGGTGCTGGTTTCCAGCTTAAAGCATAAGAATGTTTTAGATATATGCAGTTGCAAGCACAGACCTTTCCCTTAAGTCCAGGGAAAGGCTAAAAGGCCTTGATTTTGCCTTTGGCCATTCAGTTGCTGAATCCCAATCCCATCAGTTTGTGTACTGTAGATTCTGTGTGGAAGCATCATAACCCCTGATCTCTGCTTTCCCAGGAAGGGGATTCTTAATCAGACTGATTGAGTCAACTTGTGGCAAACAAAACCTAAGGCAGCCGATTCCTTGTGCCACGCAGAAGCTCATGTTTGTATTCTAAAGCTGTCTCATTTTTGGTCCCTCTAGCTTCAGAAGGTGAGACAGAATTTAGAAGAGAACCTGCTGACATGTGCAGAAGGCCAAAGACGCCAGCATCTCTATCTGCATCATGAACGGAGCTGAAAAGGTAGAGAGGTGACAAGCTGGTGGCGTCTTTGCTGGGGACATCCGGAGCCTTCAAAGCCGGCTCTTTTCAGGTGAGTGTTGTCCGCGCGGAAGCCAACTCATGGGATTTTTTTGCTGAAAACCAGTCTCACCTACTCTCACGCGCCTTGTAGCCAGCAGAACTACAGGGAAGCTTTGTCAGGATGAGGGTCGGGGTCAGGAGACAGTTCTCTTTCCTTGTTGATTCCCATCTTCTGGTGCTTTAGATTAAGACTTGTTTGCAAATTAAGAGAAGAGACATTTCAGATTCCAGGTGTCACTGCGAGTGTGCTCGATTGCTTCTTGTGCTGTCTGACTTCTGCACATGCATGTGACGTGTAGGTAGGTGTCTTTGGCCAGGCTGGCTTCATGTGAACGTGCTGCCTTCTGCAAGCCAGAGAAACTGGATTAGCTCCCTCCTCTGAAAGATGTTGGATGAAAGCTCACTCTCTCCCCTAAAGATATAGGGGAGGTCTGTGACTTCACTTCCAACTCAGGGTTCTTACTGGAGGCTGACTTGAATGGCTTTTGTATTCCACAGCCCCTGAAAGCTTTGAATGCGTACAGAGGGGCATCTGCTTGTCCTTGGTGATATGAAGGTATCGCTGTTGCCTTGGCTTTGCCCAGCTGATGATGTTTCTATAGAGGGAAGCTCAGTGGACTTGGTGCAGACTCTGGGCTTGTGGATGCTGGTTGTGCCAATCAACTGTGGGGGTTGTGTGCATGTGTGTGTACATATATATATGTGTGTGTGTGTATATATTTTCCCCTGTGGTAGAACAGAGATTAATTTCCAATTAAATAATTGGTAGTTTTCCCCATCTTCCTAGCACAGGGTGCACATTAGGTGCTTGGCTTGTCCTGGCACAGCATCACTCCTGCTGTGTTGGTGTTGCTTCAGTTCCCGGTGCTGCAGCAAGTGGCTGATGCTATGACTGTAATAGAAAAAGCTCCCAGGATATGCATGGGCTGGGATTAAAAACGGTCCTTTCTGTTACAGGGAGGCAGTGGCGACAATGTGGGTGGGCAAGGGGAGAGGGAATGTGAGGCAGAGAGAGATGGTTACTCCACTGGCACTGGAGCAGGGGCAGTGGCAGAGTTCCTGCTTAATCCTGCAGACGCCCGATGTGTCTCTGTTGGTAGCATAGGTAGATGCTGCTGCTGTTGTAGCTGTTTGTAGTCTCCTCAGGACGTAAGAACTCAACAGCTGTACTTGATGAGCATCGCAGCCTTCTTTATTAGCTGTATTCTAGTCTCTCTGAACAGATACGCTATTTTTTGGTGGGGGAAAGGCAGCCTCTTACCCCCCACGTGCTCCGAGCCTGTGAAGTTGCAGTTAAAGAGCTGAACTCAGGTCTCTGCCCCTCCTCCCTGATTTTAAAACCCACTTCAAAGGTGAGCTGGCGGACGATTGAAGCGACCGGTTCTGCCAGGCTCGCCGCCGCTCACCTTTCGTGCCGCTCCCCCGCAGAACAAAGCGCAGCGCTTCCCTTTGATTTCCCCCTTTGAAAGCCAGAGGGGACAGAGGCTGAAACGCTCCGCAACTTTTTTGGTGACTGCTCCTGTACCTTCCTGAAGTGCTGGAGGCATCAGGACAGGGCTCCAGGGAGGAGACCTCGCTCGCAGCTCAATTAGCTGTTGGCAGAGGCTGGCTGATGGGATGCTTCCTCCTCCTGGCTGTCACAGCCAGTTTGGAGGGCAAGGTCATGCATGCAGCAGGGACAGAAAGTTGCCACAGAGCGTCTCGGAGTCAGTGGCTTGGACTGATGCACACGGGGGTCTCAGAGCCCAGCGCGGCTGCCCGTTGCTGGGAAGTGCCACCTCCCGCCCCGCTGCTGCCCCGTTCTCCGTTCTGTGTGCTTTGTGCCGAAAAGAGGTGGCACATGGGGCGCACGTGTTGCAGCATCCGGGGAGGGGGGAGAGGAAAATTAGCGAGTAGCGTCCTGCAGCCAGTGCCCAAGGCATGCTCTGCTCACCGGCACTGCAAGGGACGCTTCTTGGCACAAGCACCCACCAGGGCAGGATGGAGGGCAGGGTACAAGAGCAGGGCTTGTCTTTGTGATGTGAGTTTCCAGACTCCTTCTGTGCCATCATGGCTGGGGATGTTTGCAAAGCGTTAACACGTAAGACTGTCATTTGCAAGCAGGCAAATGACACCTCACAGGCCATCCCTGCAGCGTGTAAAGGTGGCGAAGACCACCTAGTACTGAATCAACAACCCCACCTAAGTGTGCAGAGCTCTCTTATGAAAATGCCAACTGAGCTTGTCTCCACTCAGCTCATGAGGTGACAGGACTGTGGCTTGCAGCAGTACAGCTGCATGGCCAGCACATGCAGTGTGTAGTGGGAAGTGATGCATGTCATGGCTGCGGTGTCGGGAGCAGTGGGATGCTGACTCCGTGCGGGAAGGAGCAGTAATAAAGCAGTAGGAATTGGTCAGGTTGAAGGAAGTACCAGATGACAGACTTGGGCTATAGTTTATAAATCTGATCTCTCTCTGTAATTCTGGTGAGACTCCTCGTGTTTTATGGCCTTCGTCACTTGTGTACACGTTGCAGAGCTGCAGAATTGAGAGGAAACCTGCTGGTGCTGGTGATTCTGAGCCAGGCTGGATACCTGTACATGGCTTCTTAGGGGACAGTGCTGAAAACCTAAATACATCAGTGTGTTTGTGTGTGTTCAGTACTCAGCCCTGGGTGCAAGAATTGCTGATGCTGGAATCATATTCAGCTGCTTATAGCAACCCATGTATGAGGGCATGTGCCTTTGCATAAGATCACTCTGTGGTTCAGCCTCGCTCATCCTGCTGGCGGAGAATCACTGCAATGAGGAGGACCGAGCCATGGAATATTTAGTCTAAAAACCCAAACCTTTTCATTTTACTGTGTGTGAAACAGGGATGTTGTATCTTTAAGGCACCCCCTCCTCATTCCCCGAATACCTCAAGGCCTCGGAGTGATTCTGGAGGAGAGGATCAGTGCAGGAGTTTAAGGCATCCTTCCCTGCCCTGCTGCACTGCTCACTTACTGCTCCGAAGGCTGTGCTTTGCCGTTGCTGTGGAAACCATTAGTTGCTAAGCAACTGGAGCATCATCTGCGCTGAGCCCTCGCATCTAATTATCCCATCACAGTGGCTGAGAGGGGCTGGGGGGGGATTAACTCCTCTACCGTGGCAGATCCATTGACAACACTCTAGTCACATTTAAAGAGACATCGTCTCCTTTCTGCCACGCTCAGCCATGCTCTCTTGCTCACGCAGCTACTTGGTTTTTCTGCATCGTTGGTCTATTAGAAGGGATGTGGGTTTCTGCGAGCAGCAGAGATGTCCCCTGTGCTCGTGGTGCGCTTGCTGCCCATGCACGGAGCTCTGCTGGGAGCTCTTGCTGTCCAAGTCATACGTGCTGCCTGTAGCTCCATGTTTGGATCATGCAGTCCTTGCTTTGAGGACTCTGGGCCATGCTTTAAGTCCTTCATGTATGTCCTTTGTGTTGCAATCGCTTCAATGCTGCCCTTATGTTACTGTCTCTGTCCCAAGAGCCTGATGTCATGTCTGCTCTGTGAAGTAGTGATAATTCTTCAGAGCTCCGCCATGGGAGAGGTGGGCAGCTGCCTGTCTTCAATCTGTCTGCAGGCTAAAGCAAACACTGTGTAGCTTCATACTCAGTGTCACCTTACTGTGTGCTGCGGGGAGGGCTGGGGACTCTTTGAGGAGCTCTGGAAGTCTGAGGTGTGAAGTAAACACTAAGGAAAGTGTCACTCCTGGACCTCTGTGAGTGGCCAAAGCCGCCCCTGACTGGTGAATTTTGCACATTCGGATAAAATAGTAGGTCTGAGAGCTGATTCTGGTCTTGAGTTTGCAAATCCAAGGTCAAGTTCTGCAGTTGTCTCCCTGCCGTGACAGATTGCATCTGAATGAGGTTCCCAGACTTGTGAGGACAGTGGCAGCAGTTTGTTGTCTTTAGACCTGAGCTTCATGAAAGCCCGACTGCACAAAGGTCCATGCTTGAGTAAATGATACCGGCTCCTCACCTGCTCCTGGCTGCCTGGATATGGAAGAATTCCTCAGTTTTCACCAGGAAATGGATGCTTTGTGATTTCCACGTGGTGGATCCATGTGAATGGGGTGGTTGGTTAAAAAGTTTTCCCTTTTTTTTTACCACATAGGTCTCTGAACCAACTGTTACTGCACAGCTTCCTATCAGTGTTTGCTGCACCTTTGATAGGTAGTGAGATAGAGCTGGTTCAACAGGAGGGTGGTGCATCCTGACCTTTGAAAGCAAGAGAATTCCTAATACCTCCCCAAATGGCCTTTGTTTCTCTGTTCAGCCTTGAATTGCATGGTCTTCCGGTGCAGCCAAAGCCTGCAGGCACTCTGCAGCCCTGGCAATATGTTGTGCCAACCTGTTAGCAGTGCTTCCACCCCTCTCCATTGGCACAGGACCGAGGCTTGTGGCTCTCCAAGGAATGAGTGATCGGGGCTAGGTGTGGGGTGGAGTAGCTTGGGAAGATGGAGCAGGTGCCTCCACCTTGCTCTCCAGGTAGATGAATGATGATGATGATTATTAGAGCTCTTGTAATGATCTTGGGGAGGGGCATGTGGAGGAGAGAGACATATTTTGTCATGAAAATGGGAAATGTAATTAAAGGCCACATGTTAATTAAGAGCTGGAGGGGAGAAATAGATGGATTTCTGCCTGAAGTCTCATTGGCATTGGCAGTTGGGCACTTTGCATAACGCTAATAGGCAAGGAGGAAAAGCAGGGAAGATGGAAGTATTGTGTGGCAGCTTCTGCGGCGTGGAGCGGAAAGTTACTGTACTGTTACCTGTTACTGTAAAGGAGAAGTTTTGCTCTCCCCAGCCAAGGTTGGGAAACCGGAAAGAGGAACAGTATCCACAACCTGTTGTGTTCGGTTCTTTGGGGTAAATCGGCTGTGTTGAGACACAGAGAGATGGTCCAGGCCTGATGACCCATGTGCGCTATTCCATGGCCTGTCTGGGAGCCTCCCTGTTCCCTGCATGGGGATTTTCAGTCCCTAGAGTGTCAGACCAGTGCACTCCATCGTCTTAAAAGAAGCAGGTGTGACAGGAGCAGGAGTCATGGAGATGACAGCTCTGCTGCTCTGACAGGCTGGTGGATGCTGGGGCAGTTGTAATGGGAGAATCTCCTAGGTTTGGCTCTTGGGCTCTTTTGCCATATAAGACAGATGTGCAGAAGAGCATTGGGAAATATCTGCCCTGATTGTAGTGGGGTATTAATGTGTTTAACATGGGAATCCTGCTCTTCAGCTGTGCCTGTACCTCATTACCATGGCTCTGGAGAAGAGAAAAGGAGCTGAAGCACTGTATGGGAGCCGGGCTGGGAAGGAATAGAAGGGGGTGAGTGTAGGGCAGTCAGATGTACCTGCTCACATGAGGGTACTGCAGAGGGTGGTGGTTGTGGTCTGTGTGAGCGTGATGCTGTCTGGGGGAGCAAGGGATGACTGCTTCTTTGCAAAAGTAGGAAGTCTGTCTGAGGCAGCTATTAAGGGGGCTGTTCAAAATGTAGTTTGCCGTGTGTTGGGGATCAGGGAAAGCAAATGTGCAAAGCCTCTGACTCCCGCAAGGTCCCAGAGTCGGGCAGGAGTAATGCAGAAGCTGCAGGAGCCATGTGCTGCATGTTAATGAGGCAGGCAGTGCACACAAAAGTGCTGTGGCTCCGCTGCCCGTGCGCCTTCTCCCTTTGCACGTGTGGCTTCTCTGAGGAGCAGAGCAGCCCTCTGCCTGAGCAGAGCGTGGCATGGGGCAGAGCCAGGGCAGGACTTGAGGAAGACCGCCGCTGCGCTCATCCCCAGAGCACAGTGAATGGGGTTTGTAAGGTGTTCAGTGCCTGTGATGAACCCTGTCCTGGAGCGGCACATGTTAACGGCAGGCACGGTGCAGTTGGGACAAAGAAGACATCGAAGTGAGGGAGGGAATTAGGGAAGAGGATAGAAAGTCACTGCCTAAGTGGGAATTTGGCCACGGAGCAGGCCGTGTTCCAGAAAATGTGAGGGGTTTGTAGCAGCTCATTTGGAACACAGTGCTTGAGGCTCCTCCTGCATGGCCGGCCGGAGCATTTGCTCCGTGTCCTGGAAGTGGAACTAGGGAATGCCTCTCTCGGTCCCCTGGGTTATAGCGCATCCCTGCTCTTCTGCTTCACTCGTGCACTCTTTTGCCTTTCTTTTCATTTCCTTCTGGCATCTCGAGGCCTAAAGCGTTTCCAAGAAGAACTGACGTTAGGAGAGCAGCAGCTGAGGAAGCTTGCCAAATGCTGTACGTTGGTTGACAGCTCCTCTCAAAACCAGATGGTTACTAATTAAAGGGAGTCAAGTGAGGAGGCTGCAGTGGCCTTTCTGTTTTCTTTTTTGTTGGCTTTTTTTTCACTTCCTCTGAGGAAAAGATTTCATGACCTTGGAGGAAGATCATCTTCCTCTGTTTGCAGGGATGGCCTCTTCCAGCGCTCGCAGTTTGTGGTGATCCTGGGCGCAGGTTCCTTCTGAAGCAGCAGGCTGTTTGCTCTGGCCCAAGGTAGCTGCTATGGGAGGCAGGACAGAAATGTGGTTGTAAAAGGAAAACACAAAGGGGGAGAGGAGTTTGGAGCCCTTCTGCAGATCTTCTGCGGGACCTTTCCTTGAAGCCTTATGTTGTCAGTAGAGATGATCCTGACATTGTCGTGCCACCCTTTCACCGAGTCTTGCCTGCCTTGGGGATCTTCTCCGTGTTCCTCAGCCTGCTGCACCTTTCACGCAGAGGGGCACTTTGAACATGGCCTCTCTTGGGTCATCCGTGTGCATGTGGGCTGCTCCATGTGGCTTTTCCCTGTGGTACTGGGAGCTGGATGGCTGGGAACGAAGGGCAAGCACAGCTTGTTTCTCTGTTTTCAAGAACATTTGGTTTCTAGAGCCAATCTTAACAGATGCCCTGTCAGTGCTTAGTGGTTCAACCTCATGTGGAAGAACTGTGTCTGAGGGAAAATGGATTGGCAGTATCAAACACCTCCCCCTCAAATTCATGTCCAAGAAAAGTGTAGCAGCTTTGTCTCAATTAAATTCCGGAGCTTTGGTCCTGCACAGGCTCCCATTCCTGAAATCTTGCTCCTTCCTGCTACTGGCATCAGTGCTGCATGGCTGGATTTTGGGGGACTTGAACCAGGATGGCCAGTCCGTCCTTCCCCATAGGATTGCTGGTAGAAGCACGCTCAGGTACTGTACCCCTCAGAGCTCGGGGTCAGCTTAGCCCTGCTCTGGGCAGTCCTGCCTCCTGCTGTTCAGTCCATTTCCTTTCTGCCCTCTACACGTGCTCTGGAGACACAAGTGCTCCTTTTATGCCAGACTCAGAGACCCTTGGAGAGGACACGCTCTACATATTGCCAAGAGTCACAACAGGGATCTCCAACCTTGCTCTCCTTTTGCGCAGAGGAAGCTCTATGGAGTGCCTGAATCAAAGGGCGTCTATAGGCGTTGTACAAATGCAGTCCAGCTCCCCCCCCCCCCAAGATGCCTTTGCTAGTTCCACTTGGATGTTGTGCCTTCCTTGAAACCTGGCCTCCAGTTGCGAGTGACTGTCTGGTAACATCTTGTATTTTGGGGACAGAGCAGCGTTCTGACAGAGGATTACTGGGGACTGACAGGGCTGTCCCTCTACCCTTGGGGGGCTTCTCGGTGGGCTCCTGGGCACTGCAGAGTGCTGATCTGGAGTCTGGCCTTTTGTGTCCCTGACAGCACAGCACTAATCCACATCTGCATGATGCTGCTGAAGCATCTTCTCCCTGTCATGAAATATTCATGCTCTTCTCCAAAAGGGCTCCAGCAGCAAATCCGTGTGTCCCTCCTGTGCCACCCCCTCTCCGCAAGTAGGCAATCTGTGCTGCAGAGAGGGCAGCTGTGGGCTCTACTGGGAGGTCAAGCCAGATCCAGGCAGCTGATCTCTGTCTTTGAGGAAATAAAACAGAGCAGAAAAGAAGCAGCAAAACCCCAGGAGGTGCTTTTGAGACTCAACCTTTTCCAGGCTGGGAAGCACCAGCAGGGAGGGTGTGCAGCGAGCAGCCTGAGCGGTGCAGGGAGGGCCAGATCTGGAGAGCAGCCAAGGTGCTGCAGTCCTTTCTCAGGCTGGGGAGGTTGTTCCCAAGCCTGGGAACTCTGCTGGAACAGGCTCTGGTGCTGTTGGATGTGCTGCTTTAAATCCATCGGATGCGAGTTGCTGTGCTTCTCCTGGCTTTATTGAAAGCCGCCTTGATTTCATTGTATGCGCGAGTCCTTGCTAGAATGTCATGGAGGAGTGCTCAGTTTCCCCTGTGGGTGGAGGAGCATAAATCTTGGGTCTCATGAGTTACTTCTCTTTGATTTTTTTTTTTTTTTTTTTTTTTTTTTGAGCCTCCTCCTCATTTACTGTTATGATGTCAGGCAGTGAAAGTAATATATTGCATCGATTACAGGGGGACTGCTCCTCTGAGGGGAAAGATTCTGGGCTGGGGGGTGGTGGTAGGACTCCCTCCTTGAGCCCTGGTGCTGTGGGGCTCTTGCCCCATGGGGTGACGGTGGTGCAGAGCGAAGGGGGCTCTCTGGGCAGGAGCTGAGGTGTGGAGGGGATGCAGTGCTCAGGCACACACTATGGGTGATGTGCCAGCGGCCTGGCTGGGCTGGAGGATGCAACTG